GAGTTCATCAAGCTACTCAGAACAGTGGGCAATTTAAAACTTATGAATTGTTTATTTTTGAAATTTTCCACTTAATATATTTGGACCATGGTTGACCATGGGTAACTGAAACCACAGGAAGTAAAACTGTGGTTAAGGGGAACTACTGTATAACAACCAGTGTGCTATAAACTACAGTAAAACACAGAGGATAAAGGAATACTAGAGGAAAAGAAGAATGACACAGAGCTATCAAGAGGAAAACCAGAAAAGCACTGTATCACAAAACCTAAAGGAGAGAATTTTAAGGAGGGAATGATTGAAGGTATTGAGTTTACAGGAGGTCAAGTAACTGATTATAAGTAAAACGGCCCCTGGCATTGGCAAGTAGATCATAATGACTGGGTAAGAGAGGTTTCCTGACGTCTGATAGGTAAAAGACATGAGGATGCTGCATAGACAGGGAGGTGGGGAAATACAGCATGCCCAACTCTTCCAAGAGAATTGTGAAGAGAAGAGAGCTAGAGTCTAACCTAAGATTTTCATTTTTAAGTATATTTTATTGATCATGTTATTACAGTTGTCCCAATTTTTTCTCCCCTTTATCCCCCTCCACCCTCCATCTCCCCTTAAAGATTTTGATTTTTTAAAGGGGAAAAAATTGGAGCCTATTATAAGTCAGTAGAAAATGAAAATGTTAAAGATACTGGACTCTGAACCTATGACAGTAACTGAACATGATAAGAATGCTGAATGGTGACACTTTCTCTTTTTTTAATATATTTTTTAAGATTTTATTTATTTATTTTTAGAGAGGGAAGGGAGGGAGATAGAGAGAGAGAGAGAAACGCCAATGTGTGGTTGCTGGGGGTTATGGCCTGCAACCCAGGCATGTACCCTGGCTGGGAATCGAACCTGGGACACTTTGGTTCCCAGCCCACGCTCAATCCACTGAGCTATGCCAGCCAGGGCTTTGAATGGTGACACTTTCAATCCATGATTTCTAAACTTAAGTGGGCCCTTGATACTACCTGACAACCCAACTATATTTCCATATTTCATTCACTCTCCCATTCACCACCACAATGGTTCTCAAAAGGTCATCCCCAACCAACAGCTGCAGGATCACCTAGAGCTTAGAAATGCCAGTCCTCGGGCCCACCCCAAACCTCCAGAATCAGAAACTCTGGGCAGGGCCTTAACAGACTCTCTAGGTAATTCTAATACACAATCAAGTTTGAGAACCACTCCCCTAGATGGCTATTTATAATTTTTCCTCTTTTTCTAAATTCCCAGCCTTTCCTCCTTCATCTTTGATTCACTCTTAGCTGACCTTGCTTCCTAATTCACTGAGATGAAAAAGGCCACCAGGAGAGAATCTCCACTAGCTTCTACTGCATCATCATCCATTCACCTCCCTGCATCTGTGCCCAAAAATTGTGACTTCTCTCTTCTTCCTTTGGATGAACTCTGTGTGCCCCTAACCAATCAAGGCCCTCACACTCTACTTGATTCCATCCGCTCTCACCTCATCAATGATATTGCTCCAGTTACTCCCCTCCCTCTCCAGCATCATCAGTTCCCTCTCTCAGCTGGCTCTTTCTCATCAACATATAAACATATGGTTATTTTTGCCATTTTAAAAAAATGTGTCAACATATCCTTGACCTTACTTCTCTTTTTAGCTACTACCCAGTATCTTTCCTTCCTTTACCACAAAACTCCTCCAAAGAGTTGTCTATACTGTATGCCTCCCTTCCCAATTTTCTTGAACCCACTCACAATCAAACTTTCACCCCACCACTCCACCAAAAGCATTCTTGTCAGATTATATCACCAACAACCTTCTAAATCAATTTTCAGACTCTTCTCACTTAACCTGTGTTCAGCATTTGACACAATTGATCTTTCCTCCTTAATAAGTTTCCTGCTGTTGGCTTCCAGCATACCACCATCTCCTGGATTTCATTTCTCCCCTCTTCACCGGCCATTCCTCAGTCTCTTTGATGGTTCCTACACATTTCTAAAATCATTTAATGTTGGAAAGCTCCAGGATTCAGTCCTTGCACATATTTTTTTTCTATTTATACTTGCTCCCCAGTGATCTCTTCTATACTCATGGCTTTAAATAACATCCATATACTGATGACTCTCAATTTTATATCTCCAACCCAGATTTTGCCAAACTTATACACCTAACTGATTTCTTGACATCCTGACATGCCTGAAAGACATCTCAAACTTAACATGTATTAAACCAAGCTCCTGACCTACCTTCACCCCAAAACCTGCTCCTCCCACAGCCTACACCCTTTCAATGTTCAGGCTACAAATTTCTCCCTTTCTCATAGTACCTAACCCAGAGGAAAAACTGTTGGCTGTACATTCAAAAGACACCCAGAATCCAACCATTTCTCACCACCTCTCACCACACTAATCCAAACCATCATCTCTCACCAGATTATAATCTTCTCCTAAATGATCTCCTGCTTCTATTGTCTCTCTTCATATCTGTTCTCCCTTCAGTAGTTAAAAAGATTTTGTTTTTAAAAAAATCAAATTCATGTCACTCAAAATCTTCTGATGGCTCCCATGACAGAGTAAAAGCCCAAGTCATCACATTGGCCTTAGAGCCCTCCAAGGTGAAGTCTTTTCCCTTATCTCTTTCACCTGATCTCCCACTCTTTCTCTTCACTCCAGCCACAGTGACCTTCTGGTTCTTCTTCAAAAGTGGCAATTATGCTCCCACCTCAAGACCTTTGCATTTACTGTTCAGTGTGCCTCCAACATTCTCCCCCAAGATATTAGGATGACTCACTTCCTCATCTCCTTCAGGTCATTTAAATCTCACCTTCTCATTGAGGCCATCTCTGACTACAACTCACACGCTTCATATCCGCCTCCCTGCTTTATTTGTCTCCATAGTTATTACTTCCATCTAACATACTATATAGTTTACTTATTTGATCATTGTCCTTCTGTTTTAGTTACTGTCCTTCAGTTACATCAAGAACGTAAGCTTCTTGATGGCAAAGATTTTGCCTGTTTTGTTCACTGCTGCATCCCTAATGCTTAGAAGAGTGTCTGGTGCATTCAACAACCATCTGTAAAATGTGATTTAATGAGGGCCCTAAAGAAACAAAGGGCTGAGACCCCGAAGGTACTAATTTTAAACAAGAAGACACACATCTCTTCTTACTTTAAGCAGAGGTAAGAATGTATTCAGATAAGTTTGTGGGCAAAAATTTAAGTATTTTTCTCCTGATTGTCTCTATTTCTCTGGGAAATAGAAGACACAGAGAGAACTTCAGGACAGTGTAATGAACAAAAATACCAGCTGTGGAGAATGGGAGAGGGAACTGAGAAATCCTAAGCACTTCTACAAGTAGGGTGGACTGGCTAGGAGTTTCTGAGCTTCGTTCTGGGAGTGAAGGAGAAGCCCTACCGGCTTTACTTTGTTTGATAGTCCAGATGGAATTAAAAACCCGGATTTGCCTTGACACCAGTCTACCTGGCTGTGCAGAGCTCTAATGACGCCACAATGGAAACAAGCCAATAGCCGTAACGCGTCTCAGTGACGAGAGACGCAGGGAGTGGCTTGCATACCTAGGCGCAATGAAGCGGCTGCCCGCTGGGTGGCGCCAAATTCCCGGGGAGGTCCTTCTTGGGCCCCCGGTGGAGGTGGGGGGAAGGCGGGCTGGAGCGAAGGCTAGGGAGCTCACTGCGTCAGCTGCTACTCACTGCTCCGAGCTAATACCAGCTGAGACTCACCCGCAGCTCCATGCTTGTGCCCAGCTCAACTTGTCCAACCCCGGAGAAAAAGCAGGTACGTGCCACCGGTCGGAGGCTGGGGAGGAGTGCGGAGGCCAGTGCCTTTGAGGCTCACAAAGTGAGGTGTCAGCGATTGCCTAAGGCAGAATGGGCACTAGAAATGTAGCATGAGTGCCAGCTGCTCGGAGGAGCTCCAGCTGCGGATGCCAGTTGTGTGGGGGTGCCTGCCAGCTGAGAGCTCAGGGTGCCAGGAAGAGCTGTCTGTGTGCTGATCGATGTGTTCCAAGGAAATGCTGCTTGGCAGGTCCAGGTCTCTGTGCCCTGTGTGGTATGTGGCCTGGGAGTGCTGCCTAGACACTGTCAATCCTTTCCTCAAGTGGGCATGCAGTTCATGTCCTCCCTCCTCTTAAAGGGACAAGGTGGGGGGCTATCTCCGGTCAGTTTGCCAAAGGGAATGGGGTTGGCGGAAAGGCAGCAGTTAAGTGAAAGCGGAGGTTTTCCACCAATCCCAACCAAAAAAAAAAAGGCATCTTTGAAATTCTCGCCAATACCAAATCAAAAGCAGGCGGGGAGTGCATCATGGACAGTAACTTAGCCAAGGGAAACCCTGGCCAACCCATTCTAACTGTTCTGAACATTTACTTTCCAATCTGGGTGCTTCTAGAATGGGGATAAATTGGAGACTGTGGAGATGCTCACCTCCCCAGGCATGAGGATGAGAAGGTCCCACAGGTTGGACCCTGTAAGGTGAAGAAAGAACTGGTTGAGCTGGGGTTCGGGCACCCCACTTCTCTGATGCTGTAGATTCATGCCAAACTGGGGTAATCACAGGGCCTGGAATAAGGGCCCAGACAAGGGCGTCCTCTGAAGTGCATCATCAGGACCTGAGCTGAGTCAGTAGCCTGTCCCGAGACAGGGTGGAGGCAAGTTTCAGGGACTCCCAGTTCACAAGAGCCATCGAGAAATAGACTGACAGCCAACAAGAGTACCAAAGCCTGAGAGGTTAAGAATCCTGCTCCTTCTTCCTGTGACCCTTCCTACCCAGGGTCTGTGACCTTGAAATGCTGAGCACTCCTACAGGTCGAGTGGAGCCACTCCAGAGCAGCTGGGCTTTCTCCTAGTAGCCTGGGGGAAGCTGCACTTGCTATATTTTTCTAGGCAAAGGAAGAAGGAGTCCAAATGGGCCTGTCCCTTCTCAGTTGGGTTGGCTGGACAGCTGGGAATATAGCAAGCAAGCCTTGGAACATACCGGCTCAGAGAAGCACGGGGCTGTTCTCTGGCATTGGTGCAGGACGCTTCCAGGGGTAGCACAGAGGCCTTTTTCTCCCTAGGAAGTTTCACCTGGGGGTGCTATTAAAATACTGCCATCAATTATTAAGTGGAAGTATGCAATATAATAATGATCACTTATTAATCTCTTATTATGTGCCAGGAAATTGACATTTTATTTAACCCTTACAGTGGTGAGGTATAGCATTATTATGACTATTGTTCCTGGTTTACAGATAAAATAACTAAGATTCAGATAACTTAAGTGACTTGCCCAGTGTTTCAGAGCCTAGAAGTCCATTATAAAAGAGTTTGGACTGAAAATACTGACAGCTAGTCTCTTCTGCCTCTTTCTATCTGTGTGCCCTTGAGCAAGCTGCTATCCAGCTTGAGGTCTTCACCATCTCAAAAGTAAGGAAGTCAGACTAGCCCTATGGCTTCTTCCTCTCTAGTTCTGTGACAGACACCTGCTTCTCCCTATTTTTGCCTCAGTTCCATCCCTTGTCCCACTACCCTCTTTCCAGTTGTTTCACCTTGAATCCTCCTTCTGTCCCATTTCAAAATGTCTCGCATTTGAAGTCTTCTTGGGTCTCCTCGCTTGGCACAGGCCATCAGGACAACCCTTTGAGGGAAGGCCTGTCCCTGCCCCTTTAATTTTCCCTGGGCTTGTAATGCATGTGAGTTGAGCTAACTAGCCAGCTCTGTGAGGTCAGATAAGATACTATATATATCAGAGTCAGTAACCCGAGCACCGGATTACCCAGCCTAGAGTCATACTCCAGCCTCCAGGCTCTCCACTGCGCTACTGGCCCAGCTGGGGAAGGAGAAGCCCCCAGATCCTGCCCACTGCCCCTGCAACACAGGTTAGTAGCTGCCCCTTTAATACCTGAGCTTCACAGGGATGCTGAACAGAGGGCCCTGGACTGTCTGTTTGGGGGAACATTTGAGAGACTGCCCTATCAAGCCTGGGGAGGTGCTGTGGGCAAGACTGAAGGCTGGAGGTCAAGGACAGATGAAGAATGAAGTCCTGGAGGAAAGAAAGAAAGCTGTTCTCCCCCTTCGAGGAGGCAACATGAGAGTGTCTGAACAGAGGTGTCTGGAAAAGGAATTTAAGGATTTCAATGCTGCCTGGAGGCCCATTTCCATTACCTTTTCTTAGAGGGTAGATGCCTACCCTCCCAAACCCAAATCAGAGAATCACCAAACAGAGGCTCTACCCTGGGCCCACCCACTTCTTTTCAGTCAGGATTCTTGCTGTTATCTCCAAACTTTTTATTTTACCTCTTTTCCCTCTCCTCTCCCAGCCCTTGAGACTGCAAGAGAGACAGAAATGGACCCAGATTCCCTTAGATGACCTCCTGTCAAGCCATGTAAACTGATGGGTCACTGGCTCCTAGACCCTCAGAGATAGAGCTGCTAGAGTGACAGACTGGGAGAGGGACGGGGGCAGGTTGAGGCGCCTGGGGGCCTGACATGAGTAGACAGATCTAGATCTCCTGGATGATATGAGCACAAATATCCCCACCCCAAATCTTCACTCTACCTGCATCCTCCACTCCTGTCAAGATATCCCTGGACTCTCAGGTTGACACTTGTGCCCAGACAGTGCCTGACAGGCTAACAGTGAGGGTCAGAGAGTATAGATGGAGACAAGGCCCCTTTCTCATCCCACTCTGCCCTTCAGGTCAGCACATCAGCAGTACCTTATTCCTTCACAAATGGCTATGGGAAGTTCTGACATCACCACTGTGAAGGTTCCCAAGCACCTGTCAGGACTAGCTGGTTCTTCTCACTCACCTGTCCTAGACATGTGAGCAGGAGGAACTGAACCCTGTTGAGGCATGTCTCTGACACCCACCTGTGGGCTTTCTATCCAGGCAATGACAAGGCATGCTTTCACCCCAGAAAGCAGGGCAAATCTGGGCAGAGAGGGGTCAGGAAGACAGCTGGGATGTGGGGCATTACCCATCCTTTACCCTGGATGCCAAGAGTGCCTAGGATTCCTTGGGAGCAAGTCCTCCCCTGGCTGAGCAGGTTAGGGAGCCTTTCACATAAGCAACAGGAAATGGCAGTGGCAGATTGCAAGGGGGTTGGATGCCCCTGGGGTATAGATTTCATTTTAACCCCTGACTCACTCAGCCTGGGTACCTTGGGGAGTGAGCCAAGCTGCAGCAAGGATAGGAGGCTGGGGCACATGTCCATAGAGCCTAGTGCCAGGGGACATGCAGGAGCTTGGCACTGCAGGTGAAATAGAGGCCTCCTGGACCATCTCGATGCTGATAAATATTGTACAGGAGCTCAGGTTGCACCTGACTTTGCTTTCATTCCCCTGCAGTGGAAACTCCACGGGGCTGCTCCTGCAGGAGTCTGTACCCACCATGTTGTTACCTAGACAGTGATGCCTCCACCCTATACTACAGGTCCTCCACTGTGTGCCAGCTCAGGGAGAGCTCGGGATGTTATGAAATGAGGGGCAAACTTCAGAGCGGCTGTTAGACAGGTCCCAGTCCGGCTCTGCCACCCTTTCCAGTGTGATCTTGGGAAATCCACATCACCTCCACAGCTTATGGTTTCCTTACCTATAAATGGGCATATTATTAATAGCACTTACTGCAGGGGTATCAAACTCATTTTCACTGGGGGCCACATCGGCCTCACAGTTGCCTTCAAAGGGCCAGATGTAATAATAGGATTGTATAAATGTGACTACTCCTTAACGGTTAAGTGAGAGCTCGGTGCTGCCACCAGGTAGAAACAAGGTGCCAGGCTGGATAAAACAAGGTGGAGGGCCAGATTCAGCCCACGGGCCTTGTGTTTGCCACATATGACCTACTGCTTAGAGCAATGTTGAGGATTCAATTAGTTAAACACAGTATCCCAGAAGTTTTAGTGTCGTTTTAAGCTTCAAAAACTTCAGAAGTATGAATGCAAAATGCTTCATTATTTAAATTTGTCTATTTTTAAATTTGAATTAAAATATTTTCTACTTCAATTTAATGTAAAAAATTAAACCTTCAAATGATGCTTGTAAGTTTGAGGCAATTTTTCTTCCAAAAGAATTAAAGCTTAAAACTGCACTAAGATTTGAGAGACACGGTATGAAGCATACTTACCAGAGCACCAGGCATGTGGTGAATGCTGTATATGAAGTACTCAGCATGGTACCTGATTCCGAGGTGTTCAGTACCTATTGGCCAGGGTGATGGTGCTTGGCTCACATATCCCATCAGGAAGCTGAATGCTCTGTGCAGAGGGATGATGCTGCCCCTCCCAAGATGGGGGAACTGAGTGAAGTGAGCAAAAACTCTAACAGGGCCAGGAAGAGTGGGGGCACCTCTGTGAAGATGGCATGGAGAAGGGGCTGGGAAGGTGGACTGCCCCTGCTGTCTGAGATGGCAGGCACCTGGGGAGGCACCTCCTGGAGCCACATGCCTGTACTTGCCAGCTCTGAGGAAACAGTGAGAGGTGCCAGGCAGTAGGGGCCCCACACTGGACAGGGAAAGGGAGGGTGGTGTCCCAGCCAATCAGCTTGCCTCCCACCGTCCCATGAAAAGGTCATTCAGTTCAGGCTGTTGCTATGGCAATGAGGAGACTCATAGCCATGTAAGTGCCAGTCCTGTCCCTGTCTTGTGCAGCAAGGATACTGCCAGGGCCCTGGCCTGTTTTCCCACCCGTGGTGTAATCTGTAGCCTCCAGGGTCAGCCCTGCCAGGTAATGCCAAGGGGTGCCAACCTGAGCTGTCAGCTCACCTGAAAGGTACTGGCACTTTTCTCAAGAGTGAAACAGGACGGGAGGCAGGGGAATAAGCATACTCAAGACCTCAACCCCAATAGGGACCCTCTCTCCAGACATGGGAACTGTAAGCCAGCTGTCAGTGCTGAGACACAGTTTCCAGGGGTCTGTAAATGACAGCATGACCCCTCACACCCAGTGCTGCTGTTGGGAGTGGGAAAGTCTGTCAGTTGGCTGCCAGATTGGAACAGACAGGAAAGCAGGGATTTAGGAGCTCTCCTGGGACTCTGTAGTCCTAAGGTGTGGCTCTACCTCTAGCCCCCAACCCTTCCCAGGGCTACTCATTAGCTGTCCTACAGTTGTCTGTCCCTGTCCAAGCTGTACCTTGTATTGCCCTAGCATTTCTGCATCATCAGCAGTGCCAGGAGAGGTCGTGGGCTCTGGGCACTGCCTGCAGAATACCAATTTGCTGGGACCTTGTGTGGGGGTGGGGAGAGACAGCCTGGGGAGGAGCCATGAACTCTTGCCCTGGGAGGATTATATCTGATTGGCTGCTAGGTGTCCCAGAGCCCAGCTCCTGAGACCTGGAGTTTCTATGACTTTGAATTATTGATGAAAGTCTCATCAATACTGAAATAGAGCAGGACTGAACCCAGCCCCAGCTCCAGCCCCAGCCACCTGTTCCTCTGCCCCACTCTCCCCACAGCCTCCCTCAGCCTTCACTTTCTTCCTTCTCTATATCCAAGAAAGTTAAGCAAATTGGAGGAAAGCTTGTGGTTTCCCCCAATGCTGAATAAGGTCTTCCTACAGTTACCTTCCCTAAAAAGGGGTGAAAGTTGTGCTGGAGGTAGGAGCACAATGGTCAAGGGAGTGTACATGAAGGTAGGGGGCCCCAGGCCAGGTGGGAAAAGGGTAGACAATAAATGTGGGCCAGTCTGGACTGAAAATTGCTGGCAGGGCCTTAGGAGTTTTGTTCCGGGGCCTATATGGAAGTTGCCATCTGTTGATCTACCCCTGTATCCATCCCAAGCCTTGCATGGACTGAATTTCTGCTGCTCTCTGCCAAGTCCTCAACATGTGGGGATTGGCACCAGCTCCTCTCCGCCCTCATGGGCTGAGCTGCCAGACTAGAGCAGGCTGCAGGCTGCCCAAGCCACTGACTGCTAATGAGTTAGACTGTTGCCACTGCCCATTCGTCAGTTCATTTCACTGGGGGCTACAGAAGAAACCTTGGCACTCAGGGCTGAGATCAGAAGCCACCAAAGCCAGGCAATAGCCAGCCCTGATATTATTCATTATAGGCCTACAAAGGGAGGGGGCCAGAGGGCTGCCTGGCAGGGGCTGGGGGAGGAAATAATAACTGCTGTCACTGTTGAGTGCTTTCACATGTTATCTCTGATCCTCACAACAACCCTGTGAGGTAAGAATCATGATGATGATGTTATACTCATCACCATACTTTACATGTGAGAAAATTGAGGCTCAGAGAGGTGAAATGACTAGGCAGGGGTGTCAAACTCATTTTCACCAGGGCCACATCAGCCTCGCAGTTACCTTCAAAGGGCCGAATGTAATTTTAGGACTGTATAAGTACAACTACTTCTTAACAACTAAACAAGAGCTTGATGCTGCCACGGGATAGAAACACAGTGCCGGGCCAAGATAAAACAAGGTGGAGGGCTGGATTCAGCCCACGGGCCTTGTGTTTGCCTCCTGTGAACTAGGGCAAAATCACCCAGCTAGTCAGTCACAGAGAGAGTTAAAAAACTACCCCCTGCACACACTACTCTGAGAGTCCCAGGTGGCTCTGCCCTCCCAAACCCCCCAAAGTCCCCAGTGGCCCTGGAAAGCAGCCTGACCCTCCATGCTCCTCCCTCCAACGTGTCTTTGCCCTCCAGCTCCACTGAGATAAAGCCCTTAGGGCTTTTAGGGTGATGAGGGGACTCTGGGGGTCCCCAAGTGAACCTAAATCTTATGGGGAGCAGTGAATCAAAGTAAAGTGTAAAGAGCACTGTGCTGGAAATCGGAAAGACCTGGATTCCAATCCTGGCTCTGCTAGTGTGTGACCCTGGGCAATTCAGTGTCACTTTTCCCATCTACACACCATGAAGTTTAAAATGGAAAAAACTGTACTTGAGCAATAAAAAATAAAAAATTTTTAAAGTTTTTAAACAAAGGATGACCCTTTAGGGCCCTCAAAACTCAAAATTCAGACATTTTGTGTTCTTTCTCCAAATCTACCCCAGCTGTAAGGATTTGGGATGGATACAGGGAATTCTGTCTACAGTGCAGGACTTTAGCCTCTAGGGGGCCCCCACTGCACATCATTATCAGCATAAGTATTTGGGATGGATGTTGGTTGGTAGGGGAACTCCTGAAGGCCACTGTGCCCTAACTCCACTTAGAAGACCTAGATCAGTGAAAAGGTGGATTCTACCACATAAGGATTCCCCTACCGCAGCAGGAGACCATGTCCATGGAAAAACTCTGGGGTGGAGTCCAGAGACCAAAGTCAAGCCTCCTCTCTGCCACATGCTCACTAACCACCTCCCCCTAGCTCCCATTATTTCCTCTCATGAGCCTCCTTTTCCTCACCAGGAATCTGACCAAATAATCCTCAGGTCATTCCAGCTCAGACGGTTTTGATTCCAAAAAGACTTTTCCTTATCCCATAAGTCAGAAGAGAGGGAAATGGTCTTAACTTGAACTGTCCAGTGTTCTCAGTCCAGAGGGTGAGGCGGTGACATCCCTCCTTCTGGGGAGTATCTGTAAAAACTGAGGGGAGGAAGCCAATTAGGTCTGGGCTGGAATACCATGTGTGGCTTGGAGGGCTACAGGGAGGACAGTCCCTACTCCCATGTTTGGGTTTTAGATGAGATCACTCAGAGAGGCTGGGATGTGCTGAGACTAATTGCCCTGTGTAGTTTATAAAAGCCAGTGCCTTATATGCTGTCATTGAGGTGTGAATGCATGGGTGCATACAGACCTGCATTCACATGTGTGTACATACATGCATAGGCATGTTTTTCAGTGTCAGGCCAGCCTCTTGTGGAAATAGACTATGTGGCCCCTGGATGAGATCTAAGGCTCTGGCCAGCTGGGGATGGAGAGCAGGTACAGTTGGAGCCTGACACCTGGCAGGGTCCTCTGACAACTGCTTTCCTTGTCTTTCAGCCCATGAGGCTCCCAGTCCCCACTGAGTGCAGCCCTGAAGGATGTCCCAGCTCTCCTCCACTCTGAAGCGCTACACAGACTCGGCCCGCTACACAGATGCCCCTTATGCCAAATCAGGCTATGGCACCTACACTCCCTCTTCCTACAGGGCCAACCTGGCTGCCTCCTTCCTGGAGAAGGAGAAGCTTGGTTTCAAACCGGGGCCACCAACCAGCTTCCTCACCCGTCCCAGTACCTATGGCCCCTCCTCCATCCTGGACTATGACAGGGGCCGCCCCCTGCTGAGACCAGACATCATCGTGAGTGGTAAGAAAGCTGAGAGCCAGACTCGGAGCACTGACCGACCTTCAGGGAGTGGACTCAGCGGGGGCAGTGGATTCCCTTATGGAGTAACCAACAGCTCCCTCAGCTACCTGCCCATGAATTCCTGCAACCAGGGGATAATTCTGACCCAGAAGAAGTCAAACAGTCAGTCAGACCTGGCCAGAGATTTCTCCAGCCTTCGGACCTCAGATAGCTACCGGATAGACCCTGTGAACCTGGGCCGCAGCCCCATGCTGGCCCGCACACGCAAGGAGCTGTGCGCCCTACAGGGGCTCTACCAGGCAGCCAGCCGCTCCGAGTACCTCTCTGACTACCTGGAGAACTGTGGTCGAAAGGGCAGTACACCTCAGGCCCCTCCCTCACGAGTCCCTGAAGTCCTCAGCCCCACCTACCGACCCAGTGGCCGTTCTACTTTGTGGGAGAAGGGTAAAGGCCAGACTCCTGGGCCCAGCCGCCCCAGCTCCCCAGGGCGAGACATCATGGTGAGTTTGCCCTTTGGGGACCCAGTGATGGGCTGGAGAGGCAGCCACTGAGATAGAAGAACCAGGTTGAAGGAAGGATTCCTAACTCTATTTATGATCAAAGACAAGTTTTCTTCTCACGGCAGCTACAGAAAGTCATCTGGGCATGTCTGATGCCTTGATGGCTCACTGCCCTGCTCAGAGGCTTTACCACTTTCCCCAGGAAACCCAGTGCAGGACCTGTGCACTTGATGATGGTCCAGCAGTGCTCCCAGAAATACTCAGTCACCCCGTATACACTGCCATTTTTGCCCTCTACTTTTCCACCCATCATGTCAGGGTCTCATGCAGGCCCTATCCCATCCTGGACTGGATGCTGAGGCCCCAAGACCACCAGTGTTCCCTCTGGTAAGAGAGGTCTCCATGCTCCTTGTATCTCTTCTCTTGCTCAGGTTGTCATTTCCCAGCCTGGAGACCAGGCTTAGCATTTGGGCCTAATCACTGGAGAAGAGGGACTCTCCTCTAATTGACACTGGCTGGGTCAGGACCAGGGTACCTGGACAGCAGTCCTTATCTTGTCGTTGGAGAAATTTTTGTCTAGGGCTTTAGACAACCTGATACCTCTATATTCCAGTCCTATCTGGGCTGGAATGAGGGAAGAGGTTCTTCTAGAGACTGAGCAAGACTGACATGGTCTCAGTCACATCTAATCTCTGAACACACCCTTCATGGAGCACAGACTACATTCTGTCTTTTCTCTAGTTTTTGGTAACCCATTAGGTGCAGTGTGCTCTGAGAATGAAAAAAAAAAATGGTGTCTCTAGATCCCTCACCATGTACTTAAAGCAGCACAGAACTCAGCTGGTCTGCTGACTGCATATATGGATGGTGAATGGGTAAATTAGTGGGTGGATGGATGGATGGCTAGATGGGTGGATGGCTGTAAGGCTAGATGGGTAGATGGGTGGGTGGATGGGTGGATGGGTGGATGGATGGATGGATGAGTGGATGGATGGATGGGTGGGTGGGTGAGTGGGTGGATGGATGGAGAGATGGATGGGTGGATAGATGGGTGGGTGGATGGATGGATGGATGAGTGGATGGATGGATGGGTGGGTGGGTGGATGGATGGATGAATGGATGGAGAGATGGATGGGTGGATGGATGGGTGGAATAGTGGATGGATGGATGGGTGGGTGGGTGGATGAATGGATGAAGAGATGGATGGGTGGGTGGATGGATAAGTGGATGGATGGATGGATGGGTGGAGAGATGGGTGGGTGGATGGATAGAGAGATGGAGAGATGGGTGGGTGGGTGGGTGGGTGGATGGATGGATGGGTGGGTGGATGGATGGATGGGTGGGTGGATGGATGGAGATGGATGGGTGGGTGGATGGGGAGATGTGGGTGGGTGGATGGATGGATGGAGAAGTGGGTGGGTGGATGGATGGATGAGTGGATGGATGGATAGAGAGATGGATGGGTGGATGGATGGGTGGATGGGTGGGTGGGTAGGTAGATGGATGGATGGATGGATGGAGAGATGGATGGAGAGATGGATGGGTGGGTAAACAGATGGACAGGCTAGCATATGGGCAGAAGAGTTAGATGTTTTGTCCCCTTTATGCACCCTCCCCCTACTCCTAGGACATGTGCCTTTTTTAAAGAACAGCCACCTCACAACAAGCAATGTTGCTTAGTGGGTTTGTCCAGATAAACAGCAGTAGTGCATGATAGGGGCAGGGCTTTAGGTCACAGATCTTGAAGCTCGAAATAACTAAAGGTCTGGAGAGAACAACTTTGCTGACATTACCTAGAGAGTATTGGCCTTGGTAGGCCGTCTGTGAAGTGCCACGGGCAACACAGAAGCTCACGCCTGCTAGGACATTCAGACCCTGACAGGGCAGGACTGGCTACACTGGAGAGCTCATGTAGAGGAGGAATGGGAAACCACAGAGCTGACCTGGGAGATAAGACATATGTGCTCTCAGAGGAATGTATGCGTGGGTTGGAGCATGATTCACTTGGGCATGTCTGGTGTTGCTCATCTTGGAGGCAATTAGAAAGCGACTCTCAGTGGAGGGGCTTAGGTCCTAGAGGTGTCTGAGGGGCATCCCCTAACTCTGCTCAAAAAAGAAGGGTTCTTTATGGTGTGCAGTGTTCTTCAAAGTGGAGTCTGCAGGCTTCCTACATGAGAATCACCTGCAGGGCTTAATTCAGGAGCCTGGGCTCCACTCAGATCCCCTGAATCAAACTCTCTAGGGACAGTTCCTGGGAATCTACCTTTTTCCACAAGTTCTTCAGGTCATCTTTAAGTACCCTGAGGCTTGTGCTGGCTGGGTACCTCAGTTGATTGGAGCATCATCCTGATACACCGAGGTTTCAGGTTTGATCCCTGGTCAGGGCACATGGGTGTTTCTTTCTTTCTCCTTCCCTTTCCCTAAAATCAATTTTTAAAAAATTAAGTACCCTGAGGCTTGAAAACATCCATTTCACAGATAAAGTACAAACCTCCCTGCTTTCCTCGGGCATGTCAGACTCCACTGGAACTCTGCCTCCTTCCCACACAGACATATCCCAAACCTCCCTGGAGTCTGCTGCCCTCCACCCCATCCAAAGCAGACACCTGGCCCCACCCTCCACCCCCACAGCCACAGTGAAGGGAGTTTTGAGAGAGGACCTCAAGGGAATGGCAAATTGCCCTGGGGCACACTTAACCACCCTAATGACTCTCCTCCCTTCCAGAAACAACTCACAACCCACTTAAGTAATGTCAATAATGCTGTACTACTCAGCGTTCCACTCTGAGCTCAAGCTCAAAAAGATATTGTCAACCAGGAAAGGCTCCAGTGGGTCAGTGATGTAAGGCCCTGATTTAACTGCATCCCCTCTCCTCCCCACTCTCATTCTCACTTTCTGGAGCTGAGTGCAGTTTGCTGAGATGAGAACAACCCTGCTCAGGGGGTCTGGACCACTTCTTTCTAAAACCCACTCATTTTTCACATTTGCATTTAGGGATCTTACCTTATTCATTCATTTACAGGTGCTCAGCTTATTAGCACTGTAACCTCAGAGAAGTTCCTTAACTTCTAGCCTGTTTCTCAGGCTAGAAGTGATCAGAGTAAAACAAGTGATCAGAGTCCCCAGTTCCAATATTATCATGAGGAACTGAAGGTTATTTGTAAAAGGGCCTGGCATGTGGTAGGTGCTTAGTGAATGTTCATCCTCTTTATACCCTTTCAGGAGGCAAGGGATGTGTGAGTCTGGTTCCTGCCCTCAGTGTAGTCACATTTAACTTGGGGAAATACGTTCTTAAAATAATTGCAATAGGAGGCAGTCCTCATTGTTTTCAAGTGTCACAGGTAGTAGGAAAGGGAGAGGTCTGTGGCTGGGGTGGGCTATGACTGCTGGAAGGAAGTTTGCCTCTTTACCTTGGACACTTCCCATCTAAGCTCTATTTCCTCATCCATTAAAGGGAAGCAAGAATGCACATGGAGGACCTGAACCCAGGGCAGTGCTGTGGGAGAGTTCCTGTACACTTAGAGGGAAAGGTGACAGGAAAGGGGCATTTGACAGCTGCCTAGAGTGAGAAGGGTAGCAGCCCTGGGGGGAACAGACATGAGAAAGTGCATCCTGTAGCAGAATCCAGCCTGGCCTGACTCCTCTGGAGACCAGGGGCAGCTGACTTGAACCACAGCTGGCATTCATGTAGGAATGGTCAGCAGCTGGCCTCCCATAGGATAGACAGTTCTAACCAGACTCATTCCCCTCACTCAAATAACAGCCAACATGAACTTGCACTATCACAGACTCAACTAAGCACAGTAAAGAACTGGTGAAGGGGAGATGTGAATTCTGAGTAACCCTCCATGCTTGCAGAAGCCCAAGAAAATGCCAGTCCACAGGAGTGCAGCTCAGCCTGGGATAATGAGGGCTGCCCCAGGCTCTACCTTCTGTTCAAATGCAGACTACAGGCATGTTGGAGAGGAAGGATGTGATGGTTCAAAACTGGTATTAAAAAAGAAAAAGTTTTCACTATTCCCAGTGGGGACTCCAAGCCAGGTGGGTTGGCCCTGCAGAGAACCAGGAGCCCAAGTACCCAACCTGGTAATGTCCCCCTCCACCCTGCCTCTTCTGTTCCCTGGGCCTCAGGACAAGCTGTTCCCCAAGAGCCCTGCCAGGGCTGTGCTTTAACCCCTACAATCCATCCTAATCCTCCTCCCCTCCACTCCCTCCAGCTACTCCCTCCTCATCCTTGGCATTCTGCCTGCCAGCCTCAGCCCTGCCTTCACCCTGCCCTTCCCAGGCCACCTTTCCTATCCCCAAGAGCTGGGAGTTGGCCTGGGCCCTCCAGAGCAGTCACCAGGCCAGCTGTCTGCTATTTAGATGCAGAGCCAGGGACTGAGGCTCAGAGGCTGGTCCAGCCTCTTCCCATGCTGTCTCTTCCATGCCCTTGCCCTCTGCTCTGGGACCTATTGCTAGGAGCAAAAGGTCTCGAAATCTAATATACCTGGGTCCTATTTGCCCCAGGGGCTGCTGACTCATCTCTTGAAGCTCTGGGTTCTAGCTGTTCAGTGATAGGAAGATTATATTGTACAAACTGAAGTCAAGTGATTTTTCTCTTGAATGGGACTTTAGACTTGACTGCTGCCATGCAGTGAAGGGGAAGTACTCCAAAGAGACAAGGATGACAAGGGCTACCCTAGAGCTCCTGAGTGAGAAGTGTGGCCCTCCTTTCTTATCCCTTGCCTTCTCAGTTTACTCAGACAGGATGAACTGCATCCCTGTTGTCTTGTTTATTCATCTTGGCTGCCTAAAACCCTGGGGTCTGTCCTCACACAGTCAGCCACATTGAGGAAGCTGAACTTCCTGAGGGTTTGAATCTGTGTTGACAGCAGGAAAAGGTCACTCAGAGGAGATCTTAAGCCAGAGAGGGACCCTTGGCCAAGACCAGCTGCTGAGAAAGAAAGGACAGTGTTTGTGGTCTGTCATTAGAGTCAGCAAGTCACTCATGTCTCCATTCCTTGAAGACCATCTGTGACCTGGCCATTGGCTCTGGTGCTGCCTTATTTAGACTCAGTTTCTCAATTAGAACCCACATATCCTCCCTGCTTCCCCCTCCACCCCCTCCCCAGGATGTCTTCATGAGTTATGTGGTGCCAGGGTAGAGTTCAGCAATGCAGAAGTTAATCCAAGCCTGGCAAAATGTTCCCTGCCCCTGGAGGAGCTCTACTGACTATTGGCTATAAAAATGAACACCATGTTCAGGGCTCAGAGCTGTACACAAGTCCCCCTGCACCCTCTTACCTCAATGGGTACGTAAAACTGGTACCCTGAACAGAGCTATAAGTGAGAGGAAAGTACGTGGGCCTCTAGAATCCAGCTGGTTCAGTCCAGACTGCCCTGAGGCTCAAAGCAGTAGAGCTTTTGGCCTCCTGGGGTATGAGTGATGCAGGGAAGCAGGGCTTCCCACTGGCCTTTGCCCAGCCCCCAACGAGGACTCTGAACCCCTACGAGTACAGCCTGTCTATCAGGCCACCAGTCTGTCTGTCTGCAGTGATAATAGCAGCTGTGTGCAGGAGCAGGGCCACTAAGATCTCAGGAAGCAGGACACTCTCAGTCTTACCCTCACAGAGCTGACTCTGACTTTATTTATACTCTCCCCATGCCACAAAAGATTTGAGGTGTAGAAAATTACTTCCCTACAGGGAAAGCAGACCAAGCACAGGCTCTGAGAAATCGCAGTCTCAGGCAACAAGAATGTACCCTATTCAGATCAGGTCAGTGTTTTCAAGTCACAGAAACTTGAAGCCAGAGCCAGATTCAGAGTCCAGGAGACTAAAGTCATCCCTCAGTATCCACTGGGGATTGGTTCCAGGACCACTCCCCAGACCCCTCATGAATACCAAAATCCAAGGATGCTCGATTCTGTATATAAAATGGCATTGGATTTGCATATAGGCTATAGCAGGGTATGCTTACACATTACTTCATTCATGTGGATTCAGTGTAGCACTCTGCATGTGGTAAAGTCACGTTTTGCTATTTGAAACTTTCCAGCATTTTAAAAAATATTTTTCATGTGAGGGTAGTTGAATCTGTGGATGTGAAACCCATGGATACAGGAGGCCAATAGTATATGCTTTACCCATTCCACTTCAAGAAATGGCATTAAAGAGAAAGGGTCTCAATGGGCTTAGCTAGTTGAGAAATAAGCCACAATTCTTTGTTGGTTGTGCAGACCTGCTTGACAAGATGACTTTGTGTGAATTCCTTCCACTCCCCCTAGACTTCTCAAAGAGCTCCTGTGTAAGAGCTTTCCTCATCTGGGCTCCCTGCTCCCACCAATGCCCATAACCTTCTGCATCCTAGGAAAAAGGAAGAGAGCATGCTGGCAGAATGCTAGGACATTCTGAGGTGGGAGTAGTCACATTGCTGGCTTAAGTCATAGGGAGATAGGCCAAATGCACCACTGGAAGAGTGCCTGGCGGATACTGCATACTGCAGCACCCTAATTCAACATGCAAACTTGCCCCACCCTTTGAAGCCCAGTGAGACTTCCATGATGCCCTGCAGAGTCTGGTCTGGCCCCTTTCAGAGATGAGATCAACACCATTTATTAAGAACCCACAACCCTGTCCCTCGAGGAGTTTCAGTGTGATGGCACAATCAACACACAATCTAAGACCATTTACAGAAGAAGTCTTAGAGGCACTTATAAAACAAAGCCAAATACATTAAGATAAATTAATACAGTATAAACCAAATGCTAGCAGATTGAAGGTATGTTGTAATGGGGTATTTAAAGCTATGTGGAGTTAATTAGAGAAGGTTTTGTAGAAAACAAAGCCTTCTCTAGTTTATAAGGAGGTAATTAACAGGCACCAGGATGGGCATGCTAAAATCTTCTCATAGTTGTTAAATGCATGAGTTTTGCTGTAGGACAGGTCTGGGTTAAAAGCCCCACACTGTCATTTATTAGCTTTGCAGCCCTGGCAAGTTATTTGAACTATCAGGGCTTAAGGTTCTTCATCTGTAAAATAGAGGTAATAGTTACAATGCCATTGTTATTATGGAAAGTAACTGGAATACTTTATCTACAGCATTTAGCCAGTGCCTGGCATTAAGTACTTAATCAGTGGCAGGTTTGTTTAAGTGAGAGAAAGCAAATACTAAAACAGAAGAGCAGTTTGGCTGGCAGCAGGGATCAGGAAAGAGAGAGTGTGTTAACAGTGGAAGGAGCCTACGGACAGCCTCACAGACAGGCTACCTGAGGCTTCTGGACTGGATGCAAGAGTCAGGTGCTGTAGATGTTTCAGAGCAGAAGAGTGATGTGATCAAATGCAATCATTGCTACAGTGTGGTTGGAAAGACAGGTGCATGAAGAAAAGAGCTGTTGTGTTTTGTCCAGGGTCCAGGTTTGGTCACAGGCGAAGACAGTGACTGCAGGAATCACCCTTCCTAACATTAGCACCCTCTTTTGTCACCAAGTAGAAGGCCCTGAAGCTCCTGCCTCATGCCCACTCCTCCCACCACCACTGCTGGATCACATGCTGGCAACCACCTGTGCTCCCCTTCATTGCTGGGTGCTCCCCAGCAACCACAAAATTGCTGTTTTGTGGGTGGCCTAGGGTACAGCCATACATATGTCCTGAACACATCCCCATATAAATATAATCATGTGTGCAGAGCGAGTGTACTTGTGGGGATGAGCATGTGGAGAGGAACAGAAGGAGGCAACAAATGAGTAACAGCACACATTGCTGCCTCTCAGAGTATTTTTTTAAATGCTAAAAATATTGGTTAAAAATAGCAAACTCCCAGTCAAGATACTTTGTCTAGGCAGATTCTGGGTGGGTCCCTGATAAGTGAGGAGGGTGGAACACCAAACAAAGACCTATGATCTTCAGGCACTTCTGCCCTTAGGGTTAGAGTTGTACCATCAACCCCACACCAGCTGAACACGATTTCCCCACCATTAAGTTCCTTTATCCCCATCTTCAAAAAAGCAAATCAAAAGTTGAGATCCTGTGAGATGGAATTGAGTAATTGGGTAAAAGAGACCAGAAAAGGTTCTTACATGGGGTCAAAAAGGGATAGTGACCTACTGGACCTTATAAAATGTGAGGCATTGCCTCTCTCAATAATGGGCCAACTTAGGACTGGAGCGAGGAGAGGCACTCGGTCAGAAGTCTTGAAAATCTATCTCTTTAACCTGGGAGAATGGGCCCTCACAGATTTTGTGGATGATGGGTCCAAGAGGGCCTGAGTGCCCCGCCCCCTGCCCCCAATGCTGTACAAAACTTTGTGTGTAAGTGCATTTCCCCCCAAAAGACTACAGAGCTTTCATCGGGTCGTCAAAATGATCTGCAGCGCCCCCTCCCCTACAAAAGCTTTAGGAGTTATGTGCTGCCTTAGGGGAAGAAGCTCACCCGGCTGACACGGTCTTGGGGACTTGTCCTCTACGGGCGTCAAAGGCAATTTTCCTGAGTCCCAACCCCGAAGCCGGTCCAGGACTCCGTGCTCCCCTCCTGCCCTCTCTTGAGGGTTGCAGGTCTCTATTACCGGCTAGGGACTGCCCGAGCCGGGACCAGACCCGTGGGAGGCTTGGCTGGAGGATTGGCTGGAGTCGACTAGGTGGAGAAGGGGGCGGGGCTGACTTCGCCCGGGTGTGACGTCACAGGGCCCGAGGCGCCTGCGGAGCTGCCAGTCCGCTGGGCCAAAGGAGCTGGGTGTCAGGGCGGTTGGCGGCGCGCGCCCGGGAGGTTGAGGCGGAGGAGCGTGCGGTTGGCCCGCTGCAGCGGTTATCGACGGGCACAGCGAACGGTGTCCCGTGGGCCCCGCCGGTCTTAGCGTCGGGACTGTAGGACCGCGCGGTACACCCCCACACCCCGCGCCTCATTTGCCTACGTTAGGCGTGGGGCGGAGCCCGCCGTCCACCCTTCAATATGCGCACCTCCTACATGGTGACCCTGCCCGAGGATGCCCTCGCCGCCCCTTTTCCCGCCCTCGCCAAGGAGCTGCGGCCACGCTCTCCTCTCTCCCCTTCCCTGCTGCTCTCCACCTTCGTGGGGCTCCTGCTCAACAAAGCTAAGGTACGCGGGGCCCCTTTCCGGGACCCCCATGCAAGGGGTCTGGGGTTCCCCCTACTCCCCAGGAAGCCCACCTCTCCCCGCGCCTCGAGCCCGCCGCGCGCCCAATGCCAGGGCACGGATTCTTCCCAGACCCCACCGCTCCTTTCCCAGGGTCTTGGCAAGGAATGCCCCCACCCCAGGTGATTTCACATTTACTCACAGCCCCCTCCCCTTCTTGAGGTCTCTCTCCCCGAGTCCCCCGAGTCTTCCTCCTCCTCCCCCCACCCCCGCGCCATAACTCCCAGCACCAGGTTGTTCTTGGGATCTTAATTCCTGGCACCTATCGGGGTAGGTGCAAGAAAGGATAACCTTGACTAGTTCTCAGCGTGTGAGGGAAAAGGCAGCACGCTGAACTCTGCTGGTGTGACTGGTGTAAGGCCAAAACCCCGCACGAAAGGCTGATTAGAAAAGCGCAGCTTCCCTCATCCCCACTGATCCCAAAGGGCGCCCTCCCAAAGGGTTGGTAACAGGATCCTTTGACTCTGGGAAGGGCATGGGGCTTGCAAACCAGTGAAAAAGGGCAAGTTCCTTTTTCTTTCCAGCTGTACCCGAGTCTGCTATGTGGGTGCCTCATATGAAGTACCCAATGTAGAGTAATGCTGCCGCTAATGGTGGGCGCTGCCCACGTAGGAAAGGAAGAGGAGGCCAGAGCTTGACTGATCTTATGTAACAGGCACCAGCTCCCGTGTTGGCAGTGCATGTACTGCTTGTGCCAGGGCCACACCAGGCTCCTTGGCTGCAGCCAGGCCTCATGGCTGGCCCTCATGACACAGGTGAAGTAATCAGGAAAGCCCTTTACTGGGGTCTTGAGTGTGAAGACACAAACCTCAAGCAGACTTTCTTATATGGCCCATATACCCAGGTGTTTCCTCTGCATTAACTCATTAATCCCGAGCCCCCTGCTCCTTCACTGGAAGGCGAATCAGATCTGTTTATTGACTGTGAAGGTGGCATCCACTCTCTGGAACAGTGGCTGCTGTTCAAAATTAGGTTTGCTGAGGGCTAATATTAAGGAAGTTCCTGATCCAGACTTTCTCAACTGTTTACACATGAGTTCCAGCATACCAGCTGGAGTCATTCCTTCTTTCCAGGTGAGAGGCTAGCTGTGCAGGGTCTTTCCCAATTTCTGGTTTCTCCCTGTCAGCCCTGAGGTAGGATTGTTTTCCCAGCAAGAAAGGTCACTCTCAGGACATTTCGTTCCTCTCTGGAATGAAAAGTGCTGACTTTCTCTGAAGCTCCTGATTGCCTATTCATGGCAGAAAAATATCTGGGTTGGACATGCAGCAGCCCTGCTGTCCCCTCCACTCCCACCCCTTGACTCCTGTTATCCAACCACCTCATACATATGTAGAGCACTTAGAAATTGGTGTGTGGTTTTGAGCTCAGGAAATTTTAGACAAAGGCATGACCCCCCACCCCCCCCATACACCCCTCTCCAAAAAAAACTAAGGCTCCTAACAATTCCTTAAAAGAACAACTCCCCACCCGCCAGGCCATTAGTAGGGTTAGATCCTTAAGCATAGTCACTATGGATGGTGACAGGTTCTTCTTGACCCTCACTCAGCTGAGTCAGAGTTAGTGTCAACACCATGGAATGCCCTACCTTCACTGGTGCTGAGTGACTAGTTTCTCAGCTGAGGGCCCACACTGGTGGATGTTCACATGGTCACCAGTGGTAGAACGCTTTTCTTCTACATCCTGTTTAGACAGATGTTGTCTGAGGCACGGGGGGTAAGAATTAATAAAGCACTGCCAAAAATGTGTAGAGTGGGTGTTTCTGTTGTGAGCAGGTTTTAACATTAATCCTGAATGTGCAATACAGAGACTTCTGCAATGTTTTTATTGGGCCCCAGGGGAATCCTTCTCTGGGTCTTCCTGAAAATGCTGATAAGGTCTTTGTCCAGGGTATTCTTTCTGTTGTGGCCCTCTTACTGAAACATCAGAGTTTAGACTGTCAGAAATATAATATTCAAATTTTGTGTTTGGGTCCATATACAGCTAGTCTTGGCAGAGTTCTTCAAGGATGCTTCTACCCTACCTGCTGCCAACAGGTTTTTCTCACTAGCTGCAGGTGGAAACCAGGTCTCTTCTGGAGATATTTCCTTCACTACCTGTTAGTGTTAGACCTGATAACTGGTGAAGAAGTTTCCTCTTACTTGTGGGATCAGTGTGTCAATTCCTGGGAAGAGCCCTCCTTTGGCCAACCTCTCTCCTCCCTGCCTCCTGGAGTTGACAACCTTCGGGGCTTTGAGCTGTCAGCACAAGGCATGAGTAATTGCAGCTAAGTTATTTCAGGCTCCTGTTCTGATCAGGGTTGAGCTGGTTGAGCATGTTCCAGCCAGTGTTGCTCCAGAGTTGCTTGCTCCTAGGCCCCCTCTCTGAGAAAGGAGGTGGCAGGTTCATCTATAGACTGCTTCTTTAATACTTTGAGCCTGAGGTTTTCTTAATTCCTTGGAGGTAGGGCCAGAATTAACCATTGATGTGGACAAACCATGCTGAGAGTCCACCACTAGCACCTGTTCTCTTTCCAACCCCCTCACCAAACTCCACAGTAGGGACAAAAGCAAGAATGGCACCTTTAATCAGCTGCTTGCCTCTCTGTTGGCCATAATCTGCCATGACAAGGATTCCCAGCCAGTGGCCAGTCAGGATGTTGAAACCTGAGTCAGGCAGGGAGGATTCGCCCAGGCTTTAATCAGCCCTCAGGACCTGAGCTTACTTGGAAAGAATTCCACCTGTCTCTAGCCATTCATAATAGCAGGCTGACTTGAGGTTCCCACCCACCTCACCCCTGCCACCCCTGCTGAAGATCTAAACTTAGTTAAAATGTTGTGTCATTGAACTTTTCAAGACTTCCATGAAGTGTTCATTATGACAGCTGATTTACATATTGGACATCTAAAAGTACGAGTATTTGAGATAGTGTCTGGATTTGGGACCTGAAATTTGATTCCTTGGGTCTGGAATCAAATATGTTCCTGAGTATAGGAATTCCTAGTCTCTAGTTCTAATCTCCAGGTGTCAATATGGCAGAGAATGAAGAGTAATGTAAAGATGGGGGGAAAGACATAATGAATAAAAGAAAGCAAAGTCCTGATGAGTATTTTTGTTGTGGATTGAAAATTACAGGTATTCCTCAATCTTCTTTCCTGTAAGGTATGTAGACTAAAGTTGAAGAGAGCCTAATACATGTGGCCTGATGTTCATGGCTCCATTGGCAGAGAGTTGCATGAGAGAGCCTAGCACAGGCCTGACCTCTTTGCTTTCAATCTCATATGCCCTGTGTTTTCTGCTTACAGAATCCTAAGAGTACCCAGGGTCTGGCTGGTCTTCGAAACCTTGGGAACACGGTAAGTTCTTCTCAGCCTACTTCTTTCCTGAGGGTATACCCTAGTGTCCCAACTAGGCCAATCTAACCAGAGTCCTCCCAAGGCTCTAGCAGATTCCCTGCCCCCAGCAGGGGACACTGCTAAAGGAAAGTTGCCCTTATAAATGTCAGCCTAACTACTTTCCTGGGTCTTTCTCCTCAAGAATATCTGTCATTTCCCACCCACTTCTGTCCAGCTCACCCACACCCTTTTATACACCTCTATAGTCAATAACTAATTATGTCATCTGTGCCAACAGTGGGAATTTGCCTCACTTCTGCCCCTTTCAGTTACAAGGAAAGGAACTTGAGGCTGAGGGAGGATTCATTTCTGGGGTAGATGAATCTGAGGGCCTTTGGTACTAAGTAAGTAGAGATGCCAGACAAAGTCTTTCTTCCCCTACTGATTCGTCTGGATCACATCTTGCAGTGCTTCATGAACTCCATTCTTCAGTGCTTGAGCAACACCCGGGAGCTGAGAGATTATTGCCTCCAGAGGCTCTATGTGCGGGATCTCAGTCACAGTAGCAATGCACACACAGCCCTCATGGAAGGTAAAGAACCCATCCATGGACATAGTCCTATTTCCCCTCTGGATACTTTTTCTAGTCTACTGTTTCTATACTAGTAGTCGTGCTTTATATGTATCTCTCCTATTGTTCCTTCTTTGGCTACTCTTTATTGGGATTCTAGTTTCTGAGTTGCTTATAGAAAATGTGTCACCTGTTCTCTACCTTCTACCATCTCCTTGTAATAGAATTTGCAAAACTAATCCAGACCATTTGGACTTCATCTCTCAATGATGTGGTGAGCCCATCTGAGTTCAAGACCCAGATTCAGAGATACGCACCGCGCTTTGTTGGCTATAAGTAAGGGCCTTGCAGGCGTGCTCCCTAGGGTGGGTGGCAGCAACAGCAGCTTCTTGGAACAAGAGAGATGGCTCACTCTCTTTTCTTTGGGTTCAGTCAGCAGGATGCTCAAGAGTTTCTTCGCTTTCTTCTGGATGGGCTCCACAATGCTGTAAACCGAGTAACAGTGAGGCCCAAGTCCAACCCTGAGAACCTTGATCATCTTCCGTAAGTAAGAGGAGAAACCTATGGGAAGCAAAAACTTTATGAACTTGAGTTTTGTTTTTACTTATGTCTTCATGGGTAATTATTTGAGAGAAATTTTGAATATTGAGGATTTAGGTTGATAGACCTTAGACTTATCATGGTTTGCACTCTGACACAATTGTCTTCCTCTCTCTGGTTCCTAGTGATGATGAGAAAGGGCGACAGATGTGGAGGAAATATCTAGAACGGGAGGACAGTCGAATTGGGGGTAAGTGCATGAAAGGTGGGAATGCCTGCTTTTCCTGTTAAGGGCATTTGCCTGAGCAAAGCATGAAAAACCCTAAGAATTGTTCTCCCAGACAATCTTTTTTCTGCCCAGTATCAAACAAACTGAGGCAGGAGCAGTAAGAAACGAGACATGTGCAGAAGACCATGTGCTCACTTCCTCATGTTTAAGCATCATGTGTCCTCCTCTTCCCCAGATCTCTTTGTTGGGCAGCTAAAGAGCTCCCTGACGTGTACTGATTGCGGTTACTGTTCTACAGTTTTTGATCCCTTCTGGGACCTCTCATTGCCCATTGCTAAGGTATGCACCCCTATTGCCTTACTTTTGAAACTCCTACTCTTATCCTTTGGTGGTGTTGACCTATGACCTTTACTTTTTTCCTCACTCAGCGAGGTTATCCTGAGGTGACTTTAATGGACTGCATGAGGCTCTTCACCAAAGAGGATGTGCTCGATGGTGATGAAAAGCCTGTAAGTCATCCTTCATGATAGCAGTTTCCAAGATTGATCTCTGGGAAGACACTGCCACCACAGATCCAGCTCAGGAGTTCCTGGATGCACACAGTCCTCTCCAGTTCTATTTATCATGTCTTTCAGACATGCTGTCATTGCCGAGCCAGAAAACGGTGTATAAAGAAGTTCTCCATCCAGAGGTTCCCAAAGATCTTAGTGCTGCGTATCCTTAAGATCCATCAAGGCAGAGACTTGACTTTAGAGAGAGTCTGGTGACAAGGGGCCAAGGTGAAGGCCAATAGAGTAGGAAAAGGGGGGACTTAATAGCTTTTCTTGTTTGCTCTTCTGTTACCTGAGGGGTACCTGCCTTCCTAGTACCCAGTTTCCTTTATTTTGTCTCTGTTCTCGACACCCTGTCTGTCCTTGACACACATCAATACCAGATCTGAAGCGGTTCTCAGAATCCAGGATACGAACCAGCAAGCTTACAACATTTGTGAATTTCCCACTAAGAGACCTGGACTTGAGAGAATTTGCTTCAGAAAACACCAGTGAGTATTTTTCAGCAAGAAGGGAAAAAAACAAGGCAGCAGTATCTAAGACACAGATGGGAGGCCAAAAAGTGGAGGGAAGCTACTAGAGGATGAGTATTGAAAACTAGGAATAGAGGCAGGAGAGGGAAGGAGTGACTCAAGGGCTTGAAATCCTGTTTCCCCCTTAGACCACACTGTTTACAACCTGTACGCCGTGTCCAATCACTCCGGAACCACCATGGGCGGCCACTATACAGCCTACTGCCGGAGCCCAGTGACAGGCGAATGGCACACTTTCAATGACTCGAGGTGAGACATACATCTCAGACAGGCCACCTGGCTGTCAGACACCTGTGCCTCACCCATCTGTAGGGCTTCCACCTTGACTAGACAGAAAAGGTCAGAGCCAGAAAGCTACGGAACACTGAGTCTTCTGCCCAATTGAAAATAACAAAAGAGGTTGGCCCTGAGTATACACTAGAAATTAGAGATGGACCCTCATACTCCCTCAGCCACTCAGCTCTGTCCCGATGGCCTCCTCACCAGGGCTCTGACTTCCCCCTGCTCTCCCCACAGTGTCACATCCATATTCTCCAGCCAAGTGCGCACCAGCGACGCCTATTTGCTCTTCTATGAATTGGCCAGTCCACCCTGCCGTATGTAGCGACGAGGAGCTACATTGCTTTTTCCCTTCCTCGTGGTGGTGGCCCCACACCCTAAGTTTTTTTTTAAACAAACAAACAAACAAAAAAAAACCCTGACAAATGAGAGAAAAGCAAAGTGAAATAAAGCTGCTGAGCAGGAGTTGCCATGGCCTGGTCAGGCTCTGGAGCTGAGAGCCAGGTGCTCCTGAGCTATACCAGGGAAGATCAACAGGACATGGAGACCAGAGCCAGCACAGTACCTCCTTGGCTTCTCTTGTTTGCCTTTTTACACTTTTGGTTTTTTCCTGAGTGTAATAAGCCACAGCAGTGTATGAGGAGATCCTCCTGAGAAGATAGTGCCCTCTGGAGTCTGCTGGGAGGATCGCTTCCTGGAAGAGCCACGCCTGAACCTGGTATCACTCTTCACCTGGACCCTGCTCACTGGTCCAGAAGCAAGAAAAACACCCATGAGCCAAGAGCCCTCTCAACGCTGCTAACTCCAGGGGGACAGACCAGGGGACATCTTTGAAAAAAGCTGTTTTTGGTTTTTAAAAACCCAGTTTTTTACAATTACCCTAACTAATGTTTTCAGACTGGACATGCTCTCCTTCATACCTCTTCACAGCTGGGATGTTGTGTGAGTCAATTTTGTGGGGTTTTTTTGTTTTTTTTAATTCTTCAAATACAACTTTCCTAATGCTAGCCCCCAGTGGTGCTAGATAGGTGTTGTCCAGGCCCCAGGTACAGCCACAGTAGACCTGGAATCTAACAAGTTTTGGGGTTTTTTTGTTTGTTTTCAGGGATTTTTTAAAATGTTTTGGAATATATCTAGTTGCCTCTAAAAATTGTGCCTTATAGCATTTGGGGACTGGGGAGTAACTGTCCTTCCCTGAAATGCCACTTCCCTTTCCCTTATGCCATGTTCAAACTAGCTGGGAGAGAGAGAGGTTATGCCCTTAGCTCCTGGCTTGTTTGCATTGCAGTGAGATGAAAAGTAGAATAGGTACAAGGATATTTCTTATGATAATAGTGTATCAAGTTCTTCCTGCCCACTTCCTCTAACTCACCCCTGGTCTACTCCCCAGCTATTTGAAGGATAGCACAAGCTTCTTATCCCTAGAGCCTCTCTCACCTTTAATTTATTCCCTCTTAACTGCTTTTACTCCCTGACATTCCTTCCCCACCCCTACCTTCTCAGAGCCTCCTGGACCAAGTTTCTCAGGGATGCCCATGACACCCCTCAGCTGCCCCTGGCATCATTCTTCAGTCCTACCCTCAGGGCTGGTGCTTGAGTGTTTTAAGACATCTTGCCTCAGCCCTGTGATTCTTTCCCATGGATATGATGCCCTAAGCAGTTGGGCAAACTTCTTTGCTATCCCAGGGAGTAAAGCTGTTCAGCACCAAGGCAAGAAGCTCTATGCATGGAGCTGGCCTGGCTTCTGCCCCTTGAAGTATGGAGCTTTCCGGTGCTCCCAGGAGGAGGCATCAGAGAAAGACACCCTGAATTTAACTGGCCTGACACCGTTCTCCGGGGAAGACCTATGAACCTTAGCCAAAAGGCTAGTGTACACTTGTTTACTGTGTAAGCAAGAGTAGAAGAACATCTAATGTGCAGTGGAACCTTGTACAGAATAAATAGCTTTGAGAAATACATTGGTACTGATGGGATCTTCATTTGGGCAAGGGGTGGATTTGAATAAAGAAAGAGCTCCTAGCATATTAGTGGCCAAATATTTCACTGCTTCAATCAGATTGTAAAAAGTTGTGAGTTCTGGGGAAAAAATTACCCACTTCTTAGTTTAAATGTTTCTGTTAAAAAGCTGAAATAGTACATATTTTGAATACTTCCATCTGGATTCACTGATAAACATATTTATTGATATTGTGAATGCCACACTTATTTATATACTCTTACTCTTTTGAGGATAACATTTAGGGGTGAGGTGTCATGTCATCATTTCTAACTATTTCAGCATGCATCTCCAGAGCACAAGGACACTCCCCCATAACCTCAACACTCTTTACACCTAAGAAAATGAGCATATCTAGTAGACATTTCTTTAAATGGACTGCTTTTTAATTGCTGAGGTGGGCACTCTGGTGGTTCTCTGTTGATTGACTTGGGTGCCTGTAGCTCTGACCTGTGACGAGCTAAAAATACCTCCAGCAGAGGCTGTATAAAACAAGTTTGCTGTTAGAGTAGAATGGCTCTACCTGGATGCGGAGTGATCAATGCTTGCTCCTTGATAAACAAAAGATTGCAACTTGCCCCACTGACACCTAGAAACAACTGTGTTTATGTTAAAGGTTTTGTTCTCTTAAAGTGACTCTTTAAGAGAAAGTGACTCAATACGTCATCAGGTTTAAACACTTAAAGATATTGCCTCTTTGGGACATGCAGGGACTTGCCTCCTTTGGTTCTATCTTAATTTTTAGTACTGTTCAGATTTTCCATTTCTGCCACTGATCTTAGCACATGAGAAGCTGACGTCTTCACCAATTGAGCATACAGTGTTTTATCGGGATTTTTCCTAACTGCCTGTCCTTCTTGACACTGAAAAATCAAGGCCTGTCTATTCCATCCTGGCTGAAACAGCAGCACCTGCTGTCAGACTCAGCTAATAGGGGGAGACAGTAGTGGGGGCATTTTTTTCCGGACATTTCCAAGAGTAGAAAAGAGGAACTGCAAACAGTGACAAACCCTAGCATTTCTCTCTGGCCTGCCCTGGGAGTGGCCCAGCTCAATAAGATTTTAAATACTGATTTTCCCCAAACCACAGGTGAATAGGATTGCCCACAAAAATGGAGGCATTAGGTTTATAGCAAAGTGGGTAGGTGAACGCCAAATCAATGTAAGTTACTATACCTTACCTCTCCTTTGAATAGTTTTCCCTAGAGGTGGAAGCCACCTATGAATTTTTGCTGTCTTTCACTGGAGGACAGACTATAGGTAACATCAAGGGCGAGGCTCAGCCCACTTCTCTACCCTTATTACCAGCCCTCCCTTCTGTACATAACCTGTGGGGCTTTCTCATTCCCATGGCAACAGGTCCAAGTGCTACACAGATCCCAAACAAAATCTGCCCCATGTTTCTTTATCCTTCAGCTTTGCTTCTTAGCAACTGGGGATTTCTTCCCCCATTCTCTGCTGGAGGTCCTGCAGGCCTCTCCCTGAGGGAGGCGTTCCCCTGCAGCTGCCCTTGTGTGACCTTAAACAAGAACCTCCATCTTCCTGAGCCTTAGTGCCTCATCTGTGAATTACAGTGATTGGACTAGTGGACCTTGAAGGTCTCAAGTCTTCTCATTCTAAGTCACTTATTCTCTAAATCCATGACTAAGTTCTCAAGTTCTAAGTTAGGAGACTTACATACTTCTGGTTCCCTGGTTCCAGTTTATGAAGTTAGTATACTATGTATAAAAATATATGTCAGCATATATATATACTTTATTTAACAAGTACTGAAAAATACATATTACTTTTTTTCCATAAAACTAAGAGTTAGGAACATAGAGGTCACCTTGTCTATGTTCTCATTTTGCCAATAAGGACACAAGCACTAGAGCTTATGCGTGGTAAAGGCAGGATGGAAACCAGGTATTTTGACTCCCCATCCAGTACTCTTTCCATCTGAATACTCTGCCTTTTGGGTGAATAGTTTACAGCATTTTTCAAGACTTGCTGCAGCAAATTTTCCAACCCTGTGTCTATTAGGAACTGGACTGAACAGCAATATAACAAGGGGACTCCCTGATCCTATACATCCACACCTACCCAATAGCAAAATCGGCATGGTCTATTGCAAACCTGGCCCTAACAGGTCTGGGTTGGGCCCCTGTGAGGGTCCCATCTTTCATCACTCTGTGGACAGAAACAAGCACCTGTATGGGAGGCAGGAAATAGCAGAAAGAGGCTGGCATTTTACAGTCTGGGCAAATTACTTAATCTCTCTGAGCCTCAGTTTCTTCCTCTGTAATCTGAGCATAACAATGCCTACTCAGAGTTGAGAGTGTCTACACATAGTAGATCATAAATGTCCATTTCCACCTCTGCACCTCAACCCCATTTCCAGGGCTGCACCCTCAATACTCCATTAAGATTCTCTTCATAGACAACAGTATAGTAATTACCAGAGGGAAAGGTGGGTGGGGGAGGTAGATGAGGGTAAAGGGAAATAAATGGTGATGGAAAGTGACTTGATTTGGGGTGGTGAACACATAATACACAATACAGATTCTGTATTATAGAATCGTGCACCTGAAACTTACATAATTTTATTAACCAATGTCACACCAATACATTCAATAAAAAAATTTTTAAAGGATTCATTCTCTTGTGCATGATCCTCAGTAAATGTTTAGTTCCCCTTGCCTCTCAAAATGCTTTCGCCTTCCTTTCCTCTGCCCCCAACAACATACTTAACAAAGGCTTAGGAATGTAATATCAGCATAGCATTGCCCAAATCTTGGAGAATTAGTGAGGTAAAGGCCCTGAATAGGCATTCCAAATGCAAGGGGCGAGCTTTGCCGATTTCTTGATATTTAGCATGACCTGCCTCTTGGAGATAGTGGTGTGTTGGCTGGAATTGAGCTGTGTGCAGTCTTCCAGGATCCTAGAGACGAGGATAGGCCTAGGAGCAAACCCTGATTTGTCCAGCTCAGTTGGTTGGGCATCGTTCCACAAAGCCAAAGGTTGCAGGTTCATTTCCCAGTCAGGGCACATACCTGGGTTATGCATGCGAGAGGCAACTGGTGTTTCTCTCACATATTGATGTTTCTCTCCTCTCTCCCTCGCTTCTCTTCTCTCTAAAAATAAATAAAATCTTTAAAAAAAACAGACCCGGGAACGAGGGGGTGAGGAGCAAGACTGAAGAAGGGTCCTACTCTGCCAGCCTCCCTCTTGCCTCCTTTCCACTGTCCACTTTCCACTTAAAACAAACGGACTATTTTAAGACCCAGTTCTGACCAAGCCAGTCCTTCCTTAAAACAGCTTACAAACCAGGCTCCTTAGCTTAGCCACAGTGTTAAGTCTTCCCTCCTTTTTAGAATTCATACCAACCCCCAAGTTCTGCCTATTAAAATGTTTTTCAACCCTCAAACTTTAAACTAAATGCCCACCTCTTCCAGGAAATCCCCTGCCTGCCCTCCATCAGAGGGAGGCACTGCTGCTTCAATTTACCCAATATCTGATTTCTGATCTTCTGATCCAGTGAACTGTCTTCATGTCTGTCCCCTACACTCTGAAGATGATTGAGAACCCCAAAGAACTTTTGTTTACATGGGTTATATCTATCAATATTTACCATATTAAAACTAGAACCCTTTACATGCTAAGATAATTTTTTTAGTAAAAGAACTACATTTTCCAAATCAAAAAGAAATTAGTAAGAAGGGTAGCATTGTTATACATTTTTTCAAATCTCATTAATGCCTGGCTTAACAGAAGACAGCTGTGCTCTCATCTCCTGCTGCATGCAATGTGTTACAATAGCACACAACATTCAGCCTCTGGAAATCTGCATTGTATACTCACAACTGAGAGTGAAAATAATGTCAGTGTTGTTATAAAAATATGTTTGACTCCTCAAATCCTCAGTGCAGTCCACATCTGAGGGTCCAAAAAAAGGCTTGCCCCTTAGGCAAAAGCGGCCCGAGGCCCTACAGGGGGTGAATAGAGTAGAACTTGGGGACTGGGGCAATCACTTAAGAGCAAGAATTGCCTTAGGATCACAGAATCTGTCTCTGCTTCTTTTCTTTCCACTGAATTCCCCAACTTTCTTCCTTCTTTATACCTTGGCTCCAGTGTAGAGTGAGAGAGGGACATCAGAAAAAGCACACTTTGGATTTACATAGCCCTACATTCACCTCTTGTTTCTGTATCTCACCAGCTGTGTGAAATTGGGGAACCCCATTACTTTAATTTCTTGAAGCCTTAGTGCCATCATTTGAAAAATAGTTGTGCTGCCTCACAGAGTGACTAAAAGAGAGAAACTGCATATAAGACCTCTTGCCCGGGTCCTAACACATAACAGACATTCTACAGATGGCAGCCGGAAATATTATGCTTTCTCCCTACCTCCTGCCCTGCCTGATTCTCATCCTGTACATAGCTAACACAAATCAGATTAATCATTCCTTGCCTTTCCTCCTGAGGACAGCTGGGCCATGCTGAGAATTTCCAAAGAACTTCACTGGTGGAGAAAGAGGCATGATGTGGTCTTGTTTGCAGAGCATAGGTACCCTATCCTGCAATAGCAGACGGCACCAACTTCCAGATTCCACAGCCCCTCTGAGCAGCCTGTCCTGAACAACCCTGTCTAAGGCCTTGGGCACCTTCTCCTTCTCCTTGTCCTTTCTCTTGTAGACTGAGGGGTCGCAGGAAGAAGCAGCCAATCCCTCAAGTTTCCCCACTCATGGTAGCATAGACATAAGCAGCCCATACATACCATGTTCCTCCTATAATGGCTTATCTCCTCGTCCTGGACATGAAGGTGCTTTAACAGGGGCCTTCCATAGACCCAGGCTTGGCTAATGGCCCAGGTGTCCTAATGGGGAGGAGCAGTGGACAGCTGGTTTTTTCCAGGGCTCTTAGGACTCACAGGCCTTGAAGCTGCCAAACCCTTACACCCAGCTTCTATGACTTCCTCATGCTTGCAAAACAGCCCCCATTGTCCTCCTTCCCTCCCAGCACCCCTCAAGTGCTCACTCAGTGCACACTTGGTCATACCCCCACACAGAGATCACCTAGTGTCCTCCGTGCTCTCAGCCACTGCTGCCTTGCACCAGGGTATTGACCTTAGCATTCTCAGCTGAGCTGGATTAAGGGACCATTTCATGCCTTTGCAAATTCCTTCTAGCTGCTGCCCCTTCCCCCACACAAAGCCAAAGTAGCCAGGACCCTGAGCCAATCTGCCTATTGTAGCCTGAGAGCTTGTCTAGTCTGGTAGCCCATTCTCTCAGGAGGCACAAGCTATCCCTTTGACAGGGGCTTTGGGGTCAGCAAGTGAGCCCTTGGGAGTCTTGGGCTTTTGCAAGGACTCCAGAAAGCCATGCAGAGCCTTGAGCCATGAAAGACTGCTCAGATATCATCCTGTGTGTGGAGTCGGCAGAACTGAGCAAGGTAAGGATAACAAGGAACCACTCTTCCAAACGCTAGCTGCCTGCCTAGGGCTGGCAGTGCCCAGTGGACACTCCTGCCAGGCAGTGCTGCCACCTTGCCCTCACTCCTAAAGTCTCTCCCTTTCAGACTGAATTCTGCAATCCTGCTTTTGAGCCTGAACCAGGGCCACCTTGCCCTCCACTGGCCTTTCAGGAGGATGCCCGCTGTAGCATCCGAGCTCCCTGGCATGGTAACCATTTCATGAGCGTGACCTTGGGGGTTAGGACTGAGAGGTCCAAGAGCTGGAGGCATTGTGAGGGATGCCAGAGGAGAGAGGGCCTCAAAATTCCACCTTGCCTGCCCTCAGGTTGGCGTCCCCGAGGTCTGCAGCCAGACTGCCATTTCTCCTGGCTGTGTGTCCTACTGTTGGCCAGCTTGCTGCTTCTGCTGCTGGGGCTGCTGGTGGCCATCATCCTGGCCCGTAAGTATACATGACCTGCTTAGGAGAAGGGCTTTCAAACGAGAATCCATGAGCGCTACCCAATTCCCAGGGATCCAATTCCTCTGAACCCCGCTCCCCCATCTTCCTGCCTCCAGAGTTACAGGCTGTATCCCCATCTGGGGCCTCCTATCATCCACTGCCTGCCAGAGGCCTTGCCACCACTGGCACTTCCCCTATCATGACCACTACCACCTCTCAGGCAACTGGGACCCCTAAAAGGCAGCAGGAGGCAGGCATGAGACCTACACCCCAGTCCAGTGAGTATTAAGGGCAGACCTTCCTGAAGGGTCCAAGATGGCAGGAGGGAGGGGCACCAGGAAGAGGCACCTTGGAAAAAAAGAATCTCTCTCCTTTTGAGCTCTGAACTCTAACCTCTATCTTTGCAGCCTGTGGGGGCCTTCTTCCTGGACCAAGTGGCTTTTTCAGCAGCCCCAACTACCCAAGTCTTTACCCACCCAATGCCCACTGCGTGTGGCACATCCAGGTGTCCACAAACCATACAATACAGCTCAAGATTGAAGCTCTCAGCATAGAAAGCATGGCCTCCTGTCTTTTTGATCGCTTGGAAATCTTCCTTGAGCCTGAAGGTCCCCTCCTCAGGTGGGTCCCTCTGGCCCAGGAGGTCCCATTCCTGTCCTGAATCACTGTCTGGAGGGCAGAGCCAGGGAGCTACAGCAGGAAAGGCTTGACTGGGACAAATTTGGGGGTCTTGACCTCTGGGCCCAGCTCTGCTATATAACCTTGGGAAGGTCACTTCCCCTCTCTAACCACATTTTCCAGATCTGTGAAATGGAGCCCCTATTTCCTCCCCCATGAATAAACGCTGCAAGGATAAATACACAGGTGCTAGGAAGATCAGAGCTCCCTGGGAAATGAAATTACCCTTTTTGACTACATTGTCACAAGTTTGAGGAAAGAGAAGTGCAGGGCCCAGGCAGGCTCCATTCTGACTGGCCCTGTGCTCTGAGCCTCTATTACCCCTGACTTGGCTTCTTGCAGAGTATGTGGGAGGGTGCCTCCCCCCACACTCAACACCAATGCCAGCCACCTCAGGGTGGCCTTCGTCTCTGATAGCAGTGTGGAAGGATCTGGTTTCTATGGCTGGTACCAGGCTATGGATCATGGGCATGGTGAGTGTTTTCCCACCGTGTCCCAGCTACATGTCAATGGTCTACTTCACTCCTCTCCAGTCACTCCCAGCACTGGCAAAATGGCTGGAGACTCTGGTGTTTCTGAATCCAGATGCCCACCCCTCCCACCCAGGGAGCTGTGCCCATGATGAGTTCCCCTGTGACCAGCTCATCTGCCTGCTACCTGACTCAGTGTGTGATGGTTTTGCCAACTGTGCTGACGGCAGTGACGAGAACAACTGCAGTGCACAGTTCTCAGGTATGGGCCCCACCAGCCTCAGGGTGGGTGTTGTCTTCGGGTATCTGATCCAGGTTCAGGCTGAACTCCCCAGCTCTGGCCCAGCCCCATATCTGCCTGGTAATTCTTCTGGCCTAGAACTTGTTTCCCACAAGCATGACGAAAACTATCCTCTACAGTTAATGTTGGCCCTGTTGGGCAAAGGCACAGACACTGGCCAACTCATGAACACCTCCTCCTCTCTACAGGATGTGGGGGGAACCTGACTGGGCTCCAGGGAAATTTCTCTGCTACCAGCTACCTGGAGGAGTACCCTCCCCAAAAGGTAAGCCAGCACTCCATGGGGAGGACAATTTAGCACCCATGGGCACACCTGAGCACCCAGTTAGTGTAGCTATAAACAGCATGATAGACACTGCCTAGTACTTGGGAAAGTCAGAGATCAAGCAGGCAGAAAGAGAGCATTACTAAGTGCCTACTACATACCCAGTTGTTCCCATGCTCAGTAAACCTATCTCTGATACGAGACAAGTTAAAAGGCCCTCCCTATCTGAAGAAGCACTTATGATGAGAGCTAGGAGAGCAGGGCCCACCCACACCCTGCCTAGCCTGCAGCAGGAAGGAAGGCCTTCTGGACATCTCAGCCTAGATGCCCAGGTTGGGACAGAAGGAACCTGTGAAGTATGTCATCTGTGCCCTCCCTCAGCTTTGCACCTGGCATATCTCAGTTCCTACTGGACATGGCGTAGAACTACAGTTCCACAACTTCAGCCTGGAAGCTCAAGAAGAGTGCAAGTTTAACTACGTGGAGGTGTATGAGACCAACAACTCAGGGGCCCTCGGCCTCCTGGGCAGGTACCCAAAGTGCCGAGGGAGGAGCCCAGGATCAAGTTCATCCTCCACAGTTTGCCAATCACGGCTTTCTACAAATTAGCCAAGTTACTCCCTAGCCTCATTTTCTTTGGCTACTCCAATCCAAAGTCTTCACTGTCACCCTAAAAAAGGCTTGTCCTTTCTCATCTGAAAGCCTTTGTTCCTTACTTCACCCTCCTCCAGGAGGCCCTTTCCCAGTCCTAACCCTCTCTCAGTTCTCCCACAGGTCCAGTTCCACTTCCCTAAGGAACACTCACTGATTTTTCCCATCTTAAAGGGGCTCAAGGTCAAGCAGTTGATTTAATATTGTACTTTGTCTACTGAATACATGTGTCTTCCTCACCAGACCCTAAGTTCCATGTCTCAGATATGCCTCCTACCCACTCTGGCATCACCCAAAGCACCCAGCTCTGGGTGAGGCCTGTGGGCAGCCTCAGTGTACCCCAGCCAGCCAGGACCACCATGCCCAGGACTGCTCTCTGCTTTGGGCAGGTTCTGTGGAGCGCAGCTGCCCCCTCGCCTCGTCTCCTCACATCACCAACTGGCTGTACTCTTTAGGACAGGTCATGGCATCAGCAGCATGGGCTTCTCAGCCATCTACCGGGCCCTCAATGCCACAGACAGTAGGTGCCCTTCCACAAGCAGGTGTGCACAGTAGAGGTGCCTCCAGGAGAATGGGGAAGGGCTCTGGATCCTGGTCAGAACACTGTGAAGGCAGCAGGGCACAGACATATCTGAGGGCACTGCCATTACTCCTGTGCCTTACAGAACCCTGTAGACTCCAAGAATCCTCCTGCCAGGATGGAGGATGCAAGAGTTTGCAGTGGATGCATGACATATGGAGAGACTGCACAGACAGCAGTGATGACAAGTGCAACGGCGCCTTGTTCCCATCCCCAGGTGAGAAGCCTGCAGCAGGGCCCCATTGACAAGAACTGGCAGGCCTGAACAAGCTGTGTACCCATTCATAACACTCTTCATAATGGTCATCCCTATCCTTCCTAATGGGGGGATTCACTATCCTGACTCTTCACAGAGTCCTGTGTCACCCCCAAGTTAAATGGGAATCTCAAGAACCAGTCCAGTCTAGTCACAGAAAGAGAGAGAAAGCCCTTCTCCACAGCTCACCTCAAAGAAGAAGGTGAAATCAGGGAAGTTCCTTCTAGATGCTGAATGGTGTCTGCTAATGCTGGTGTCTCATGCTGCCTGAGATCAAAGAGGTGCCTGCATGATGCCCAGGGCTGGCCAATGATGCTTGGAGCAGGCTCTAGTAGGGCTGTCCAGCCTGTGGCCTGTGGGACACATGCAGCCCAGGATGGCTGTAAAATGCAGCACAACACAAAATCATAAATTTACTTAAAACATTATGACATTTTTTGTGTGTGATCACATGTCACAATGTATTTAATGTGTGGCCCACAGCAACTCTTCTTTTTCCAGTGTGGCCCAGAGGTGCCAAAAGGTTGGACACCCCTACTAGAGGATAACAGAATCCACAAAATGTGTAAAGCATCTCTCCATTTCATCTCCTTTGATTCTCACAACAACCCCCTTCTGACCCAATAGAGTGAATAGGTGACTTGCTCCTGGTTACACACCCAGGTGGTCCCCACAGTGACCCTTCCCTCCTATCCCTGCAGAGATGGCCTGTGAGCCCATCCAAGTGGAGATGTGCATCGGGCTAAGCTACAACACCACGGCCTTCCCTAACATCTGGGTGGGCATGACCACACAAGAGGAGGCGATGGAGGTCCTCAGAGGTTACAAGGTGCTCTGGGAAGAGATAAGAAGGGACCTTCCCCCACCCCCAGGAAGCGGAGGGAGCCTGTGGTGCAGGTGCTTGAGGGCTGATCTCTTCCCACAGAGCCTGACAAGTCTATCCTGCTACCAGAATTTCCGGAGGCTCCTCTGCGGGTTGCTGGTGCCCCACTGCACCCCACTAGGCAGTATTCTTCCTCCCTGCCGCTCTGTCTGCCAGGAGGCAGAGCACCAGTGCCAGTCTGGTCTGGCACTACTGGGTACCCCCTGGCCCTTCAACTGCAACAGGCTGCCTGAGGCAGCTGGCCTGGGGTCTTGTGCCCAGCCCTGATCCTGAAGTGGACTCCTTTCCTCTGCCTGCCCATTCTCCTTTGCCTATCAGGGTGGGCAGGCAGGGCAACAAAGGAAGGGGGACCAGCATGAAACTTTGCCCATCCTCTCTGGAGCCTCCTGGGAAAGGGAAGGAATCCTCAACCAGGCTGAGACCCTCCCACTCGCCCAGCTCCTTCCTTGACTCTATACTAGACCCAGCTGCCATGGGAAGCAGGCCTGGCTCCAGGCTGTGCCATTGACAACCTAGACTGTTTCCCACCCAAGCCCCTGTTTCCTATCATCTGCCTTCTCCCTCTGCACCTGCTTTTCAAGGTTTCTTTTTCATTTATTCAATGAGTCTCTAGTAATGTGGCAGGCCCTCTTCTAAGTCCTGGGTAGCCAGCTATCTGCCTCTAGAACTCTCCTCCCTCAGTTCTCAGCTTATATTTCTCCCGGACTTGAGTCTTGTCCTTAGTCTCTGTCACTCTCTCCTCTGGGCTCCTTGGAGCAATAGGTGCCCTGAGTGTCTGTCTCACGGTTCTGACTCTCTGTGCCCGGCTCAAGTCTCTCTCCTCCTCCTTTCTCCCCCCAAAGTTTGGCCGGACGCCTGGCACACCACGAGTTATTTCCTTGCTATTTCCCGGCGGGAGCTCTTGGTTTCCTCTTGGAGTCTGGGAGGAGCAGAGCAGAGAAGGCAGAGAGCGAGCCAGGCAGGACCAGGGGGACCGCGCGGGCTCCCAGCGCCTGGCTAGAGAGAAGTGCAGAGGCGGAAGCAGAGGTCAGCTTGAGGGTCCGAAGAAGCAAGCTCCTGGAGGGAAGCCATAGAGAGAGGGAGCCGCGCCGGGAGCCAGGAAGGGGGTGAGCCTGGTGGAAGGGGATGAGGATTGGGGAGGGGACTGTGGGAAAGACTAGGCTCGGGCCAGGGTGGGGGTTGAGGGAGGAGCCCGGCCTCTCCCTTCCTTCTCAGCTGTGCTCCCAAGGTTCTCCGGGTCTATGGGCACTCCATTTCTTTGAGTCCCCGTAGCTGCTCAGCTACAGGCATATGGCAGTGGGGTGGGGATCTACTCGGCTGACCTGGGGTGGAGGGCAAGGCAGGCCCCAGAATTCTGGGCCCGACTCCTGTCCTGCTCGGCCCACAGACTACGAGAGGACCCTGGCATTCGGGCTCCCAGTGCCAGCGCCATGAGGCCGCTCCTCGCCCTGCTGCTCCTGGACCTGGCGGCCGGCTCGCCCCCACTGGACGACAACAAGATTCCCAGCCTGTGCCCAGGGCACCCTGGCCTTCCAGGCACGCCGGGCCACCACGGCAGTCAGGGCCTTCCTGGCCGCGATGGTCGAGATGGCCGAGACGGCTCGCCCGGGGCTCGGGGAGAGAAAGGCGAGGGCGGGAGGCCGGGTAAGAGCGCCACAGCTACGTCGGAGCTGGCAGGGCCCCGCTCCAGCTCTGCAGGGCTCAGAAATCCTGCCAGGGGGCGCCGCTCTGACCCCGCCCATTCACACTCTACCCTGGGAGGGAATAGGAGACAGCGACTCAACCCGCGGGATCAGAACCCTTGGGACCCTTTTTGACCCGCGGGTCAGATATGCCCCAGCCCCGCAGTACACCGGGTGGAGGGGGTGAGGGAGGAGAGGGATGCTAGTGTGCCGGGTGGTACAAGAGGGGAGGTTCGGGCTGGGGAGCTTAGAGAGGAGAGGGAGGCTCCTTAGAGTCGCCCTCTGCACACACCTCTGCGAGTGGACCGGCTCCTGCACTCACCTGAACTTCTCCCCTTACCCCCGCAGGAATACCGGGGCCCCGTGGGGAGCCCGGTCCTCGAGGAGAGGCAGGCCCTATGGGGCCGTCTGGGCCTGCGGGGGAGTGCTCGGTGCCTCCCCGCTCCGCCTTCAGTGCCAAGCGCTCCGAGAGTCGGGTGCCTCCGCCGTTAGACTCGCCCCTCCCCTTCGACAGGGTGCTGGTGAACGAGCAGGGTCATTACGATGCCGCCACCGGCAAGTTCACTTGCCAGGTACCAGGGGTCTACTACTTCGCGGTCCACGCCACAGTCTACCGGACTAGCCTGCAGTTCGATCTGGTCAAGAATGGCGAGTCTATCGCCTCTTTCTTCCAGTTTTTTGGGGGATGGCCCAAGCCAGCCTCTCTCTCTGGGGGCACCATGGTGAGGCTGGAGCCCGAGGACCAGGTGTGGGTTCAGGTGGGTGTTGGTGATTACATTGGCATCTATGCCAGCATCAAGACAGACAGCACCTTTTCTGGATTTTTGGTGTATTCTGACTGGCACAACTCCCCTGTCTTCGCTTGACTGCCAACTGGAAAGTGAGCCTACGCTTTCAGGGGGCAGGGGCCTGGGGGGGACGCCACCCTGTTAGCCACATCGTGGGTAAAGGCTGGCCCCCTGGAATGTTGTGAATGAATAGGAGGGGCAATGGGGGCCTGTCCAGACCTGCTGCTGGCAGGGGATGGGGACAGAGGCTGTCTGAGATCAGGGCTTGCAGCACAGGATACTGGCTGGATTTCTGCCCAAGACCAAAGGAGTGCACTGTGCTAGCAGGTGTAGGTCCTCTGGCTCAGGACCCCAAGGTGGGGTGCTCTCTTCCTGGTGTCTACTTCGCTATATCCTCCCTTTTCTCTTTTCTCCTGGGCCATTTTCTTAGAGACCATTCAATAAATCTTAATTTAAAAAAAAAAACACACCTCCGATTAGTTCAGCTGTTCTTCTTTAGTGGGGAGGATGCCCTCATTCTGAGGATGGTGGAAGATGGAAGGAGAAGGGAGGGCTCTTGGGCTAGATGAGCTAAGGGGCAGGAGATACAGGAGGCAGGCCCAAGTGAATGAAAGGCCGCTCAAAAGTTGCCCCTGTGTAGGTCGCGAACAGGAGTACCTAGCTGAGGAGGGTATCTTCCTGGTGCAGGGCTCTGGACATCTTTTTCTAACTCAGAGATGTCATATGAACTGGGTAGGTGCTACTTTTACCACACACACCCCTAATCTTATCAACAGATAAGGATCCATGGATTTTAATTTATGACTTTTCTGCTGCTTGCTTGGTCCCTTGATGACTGACTGGAAGGCTGTTTCACTATCCCCCATTGGCCGGGAAGTGGAGTGTCCCTGGGTGTCTAGATAAGTAGTTCCTGAAATGACCACAAGAGGGCCCCCCAGCTCCAGAGTGCAGCAATGACCCTGAGTAGCTTGAGCTCTTGACTACTGGGTTGGTTAGGGGGAGAAAGGATAAGATAGACCAGTGGAATTGCAGATGGGGGTGGAGGGAAAAGGGCCCTCTGCGCTCAGCCCAGGAAGTTTATCTTCTCTCATAAAATGTTTATTATCACATTAAACAGACTGTTAGGAGCCAAGGCTCTCCTTGCTCAGCTCCTCTTCCAGTGTTGGGGGAACAAGAAAAAGCCCTCCCTCAGGCCTCCAAACTCCAAAGTGGAGTTCTGAACGAACTCTACCTCTGCTGTTCTGGGCACCGCCTGGGTGGGCTGCGCCACCAAGTCTGAGCCCTTCGAGGCCCCCCTCTGATCTTCAGAAGCCAGCCCTGGCCCCACACCCCAACCGAGTAACTAACAAACGACGGCTTGCCAGGTCCGTGTCAGCTCATTTTCTCAACCCAAGAGAAAGTGGAATCTGTTTCCTTCTGACCTATTTTCCCTCTTTCTCCACTTCAGAAGGCTGTTCCTGGCAATATACTCTTAGATTGAACAATTATGGGGGAATGTCCCCCTCTCTCCTGTTGATCATGTGAGGGCAGGTATGGCCAGTGGGGACTGGGCTAAGTAAGCTAGAGACAAGCATCAGGAGTAATGAGCTTCAACTCCATGCTCTCCACCAGGAGGTCCCACAGCAATACTCTACCATATCACAGCACCATTCTATGCCAAGAGACACAGACAAGCACTAGCTCCTGCAGGGCTCAGAGAGTAGACTGGACACCATGTGACAGGAACCCCAACCCAAGTTCCCTCTTGGGAAGACTGGCACCAGAGGAAAACCTGGGATGTGAAAATTCATACTTCTAATAGGGCTTAACTTCTGGCAAAAATAGAAAAGGGAGGGCTTTCCAAAAGCCATGTGGATTAGGGCACAAATTGGAGGTGATGAAAGCCAGCCACACCTGGCAGACTTTCACCAAGGCACAGTGCTCCCATCCTATCTTCTCTCCTCCCCCACCAACCAAACTTGTGACTCCAGCAGAACTGAAGGACCCTGCTATAGTGTCAGTTACCCTGACCAAATGTTCACCCATGCAAAGATGCACACACAGGCTGTCAGTTGTCAACAAAACTTTATTCAATGGAAACTGGACCAGGAGACCCCTCAGGGAACTACATACCCCTAGGTCCTGGCCCCTACTGTTTGGACCCTAGTGAAATGTGCATAGTCTACCCTCCCCAATGCCAGGGAGGGAAACAGAAGGGGAATGCCATTATTCTGTGATGTGGGGAGTGAAAGGGATATAAGTAGAAATCAAAACCTGGTTCTCTCCCCTGAAGCTCCAAGTGGAGCTGGGGTATGAGGATTCATGGTCCCAAAGCCAGATGCAGATACATGCCCTGCCCTCAGGGATAAACTCCTGACCCCAACTGTTGGATTATGTTGGGAGGGTGCCTCATAAGAACATGACAGGCAAAACTGGTAGCTCTAAGGGCACCCAAAACCTATCAGGCACAAGAACTGTGCCTGAAACCAAAGGTTCAAGATCATTCCAAGGCCCTTGAGTTGACTAAACACCCAAATGACACTGACGTGCAGTGGCTGAAAAAGCTGGGGAAGCAGTGGGGAGGGGCCAGGGAGAGGACCTGCAAATCCCCAACAGAAAAGCCAGAAGCAAAGAAGGGAAGCCCCAGAGGCTGGCATTTGTGAAGGCCCTGGCCAGCTGGAGGGGTGTCCACAGCAAACAGTCTCAGAGTCTGGCATAGTGACATACCACCCTCAATATCACAGAGACCCATAGAGTCAAGAGAAGCTGTTGTCCTGCCCCCACCCAGGTCAGTCTTCCAGGGTATCTCATCTCTCAATGTCCTGAATGTATGGCTTGGAGGTTTGGCATGACAACCATGGGGGCAGAAGGGGATTCAAGCCAGGACCAAGAGATCAGGTGCTAACATTGTCCTACTACAGATGCCTGTGAGAAGCGTGGAGCTGGAGGAGCGGGCAAGGAGGGTGGGAGTTTTCAGAGGTAGACATTGAGGGTCTGCAGAATGCCCTGGCGGCAGAGTGGGCAGTTGCGGTGGTAGACTGGGTGGCGCATCAGAATTTCAGTGCAGGCTTGGCAGAGACACAGGTGCCGACATGGAAGCAGCAGCACTGTCTTGCTCTGGTCCTGGCAGATGACACACTTCTTCCGCTCCTCCTGCTCTTTTAACAACTTCCATGGGTCTTGCCCAGCTGTAGACTCCTCCTCATTAAGTCTCTCCCTGCCCCAGGCAGCTGTCACTCTGGCTACTCTGACTTCCTCCTCTTCTGCCTCTGACCTGGTCCCTGCTTCAGGAGGAGTGTCCTGTTGCCAGGTCCTGGCTGAGGGCACCCTCCCAGGGCCAACCTGGGGAGCCCCAGGTGCCCCTCCCTGGTTCGGCCAGCTTGCCAGCTGCAGGCTGCGGCTCCAGGCTCGGCGCCAAGTATCCAAGCCCAGTACTAGGTGAGACAGCCGCACAACATCCTCTCGAAGCCGGTGGTAGGATGGCGGGGCATGGAGCTGACAGAGTGCCCAGGTAACCAGCCTCATGGTGAGGTCCGGATGCAACACAGTCACTGTTACTGTCAGGACACAAGCCAGCAGCACCAAGCCAGTGAGATTGACAAGCACAGAGCTGGCCAAGAGGCGGGCAGCTGAGGCCAGGAGCTCCAGTGCTAGTTGGCAAGGGGTCCAGAGAAGGATGGCCATGGCTACAGCACTGCTGGAAATGTGAGCTATGAAGGTAGCCATAATGTCCATCATCCTCCACAGTGGCCCCATCACTGCATCCCATAGGGCCAGCAATAGGGAGAAGAGATTCTGAGTGCCAATGAGGCAGATGTTGACCAGGCTGTTGATCACGTAGGCCACCAGGCTCATGGCAATGGCACAGATGTCACAGGCCTGACGCAGCAAAGCATGGCCATTGGAGACCACATTGAGGATGCCTCGGTGCAGTATATCCCGGCTCCTCAATGCCCCATGAGAGGCTAGGTGTCCCAGGAGTTTTAGGCTCTCCAGGCCTGCGCAGCAGCTGTAGAGCAGGGTACAGAAGGCCTGAAAGCCCCCCAAAATGAACCGGACCAAGGCTTCTATCAAGGCCAGCAATGAAAACAGTACTCCGCGGCCTAAGTGCATTAGACTAGTCAGTACAGTGTGTGGCAGGTTGTAGATGAAGGCTAGAAGCCAGGCCAGGGAAGCCAGGAGGGAAGACACCAGCAGGAAGTTGAGGTCCAACACCAAGGTCAGCACGTCCAGCACCAGGCCCACACCATTCACCACCAGGTACACAGCCTCCATGATAAGGTTACGGAGGTTAGTCAAATAGAAGTCTGGCTCCTGGTTGACGGAGGTGGCAAGGTTGCCAAAAAACTGGGGGGGGGGAATTAATTGGAAAGGTAAGTGAGAAGTCTCCAACTAAGGGAGAGAATCAACAATCTGAAAAGGAAGTGGGTTAGAGGTGAGTGGGGTCTCAGTGGGGGGAACGAGGACGAGGTGCCGGTCCAGGAGTGCCGGTTTTGAAGGCTGGCTGTTTGGGAGGGAAGAAACCAAACATTTCTAAAGTGGAGGTGAGCCCAGAGTGGAGGAGAGTCCTCAGCTGGTGGTGGTGTACCAAAGCCAAGCAATCAGTCAGAACGAGAAGAGACCCGGAACGGTTGGGATAGGGCCAGGGCCGGGGCCGGGTGGGGCGGCACAGGCTGGACGCGGGCTCGCGGTCCAGCTATGCAGGTTCCCCTGTCCCCGCCCGGCCCCCGTCCTCTGGGCTCGCGGCGCTTTGCGCCCAAAGAAGAGTGGGAAAGGGAGTCAACCTCAGCAAACCCCAGGTGCGGCCTCCACTCCGCTGCGCGCCGCCATCTTGTGTGCGAAGAGGTGGGGCCAGACCCCGGACCAGAGAGAGGGACGACGAACAGCGTAGGGCCAACCGCAGGGGACGTCGAGCACTCATTGGTCCGTTTGAAAGACGCTCACAGAAGGGGAGGGGACAGACTTAAATCTCCGCCCTCCTGAGTCAATGATTGGCCAGTTGAGACCCCCATCCGAATATATTTGTGAAGCCTGCCGCTCTCTGTCTAAAAGGAAGATACTCAGAGGTTTATCCTTTCCCTAGTCATCGTTGCTTCAATTTCCTACTTGTAGTGAGCTCTTCATCTCCACTCTGGCCTGAACTCCAGAAAGTCTCTGTCCACCTTCACCCCTCCCTGAACACTGCCTGAATCCTTCATTCCCTAAAGTGCCACTGATAACAAAACTAAGATAGTGACAAGAAAAAACTCTGAGACGTTTTAGATTAAGTAACAGCTGCTGGAAATTGAGAGAAAGAGAGAGTGCACTTTGGAGCTTTGAATCAACCATCTACTAGTGGCCACTATCTGTTGCCTGTAACCAATCAAAAATAGTAAATATTTGTGTTGTTGGAGGGGGTAGGGATTATGTTTGCTTTTTATCTGAGTTGTTTGGTTTTGGGGGATGTTGAATTGTCTTGAGTTCTTTATAAATTTTGTATATTAACCCC